CTATTTTTACATGGACTTTCACACATTTATAATATGCAGAGAGAGATTTATTTAAAAGAATCGTTTTGGAAATGGATTGTGAAGCATTTTTTTCTCTCTCTTCATTTTGAATGAGGGCAACGAACGAAACCGAATCACTGTGGTCTGTTTTTTGTGTTGTTGATGTTGTTGTTGTTGTTGTTGTTTTGTCCGGTGGCCACTCGAAAAATCATTACCATTGGTCAATTACCAGTTGGTATCATCTCAATACAATATATTAGACATTATTTATAGCAAATCATTTAAATAATAATTGGCAATAATTATTGCCTGCGATTGAATTTCTCTCCCTCCGCGTCTCTCTCTCTCTCTCTCTTTCACTCGCCATGACACTGAAATTCCACCAAGCGATCACTTCCTCATACGAAGTACTTTTAATTTGTTCGCGGTTATCATATGATTGCAAGCGAGAAAAAAAAATGCTTGAGAATTTTTACTCAATTATTTTTCTATTTGCTCATTATCAAGCTTTGATGTAGCCTGGTATGTGTGTCTCGAAACTCCGTAGGAATTTCAAGCGTTTAATGTAGAAATGCACGAAAAAATGAAAGAAAGAAAAAATAAACCCAACAAAAACGAGAGATGTATGAGCTAATAAAGAATAAACGCGGAAAAATAGAGAAAAATGTCGTCAACGTTGTAAATTAGCTGCGCAAAACGAAAAAACCACAAACATTCATACGGCTATTTTTTTTGTACTTTATTCTACAGTCGCAATTTTTGCTCTCTCTCTCTCTCTGCATGTTTTTTTTTCTGTTGTTCATTCACTTGCTGTACTGAGTTTTTTTTCAAGAATTTTTGTTTGCATGTAAATCTGATTGCGAAATAAACATGTTCTAACTCGCAATTCAACTTATTAAGTGGATGGGCGTGCGCGCGTGCGTACAGCCACAACAATAAATAATTGGATGAATTTAGTAAATATGCTCATTGATTAAAGCTACATATTTACCTCTGCCCCGGTCGCTTGGTGTGTGTTTGTGTGTGATAAAGCCATTTTTTCGCATGTCCATACGAAAAATAAATAAAAACAGCCAAGCGACGTAGGTGCGACCAATTTTACCTTTTGCGTCTTGTGTGTTAGAACTGTTGCTCTTTTAACGTGTGTACCGTTTTGCACGCATGTAAATTATAATTCTGTTTGTTCTCTTTGTGTGTTGTTCAGTTCGTTCCTTTTTCTCTATTTCTCTCTCTCTCTCAGCATCTCTCTTTCTCGTCGCTATTTACGTTTTGTATGTTTTTGCGTACTAGAAGTCGTATCGCGTCAACGTCGTTAATACTTTTTAAAATAAGAATGTAAATACGATGCGCGAACGATGTGCAAATAAGTAAACATAACAGACACTTGGCAACTGTTGCTCTTCCCATTATTATCTTCATTGCTACTGCTCGCTCACATCTCTTCTTTTACCATCATCGTTATCACACACACACACACACACACACACACACACACACAATGTTTCTCTAATATGTTTTTCCATTTCTACTAAATTTTCCATCATGAAAAAGAAAAACTAAGAAGAAAAAACATCAACAGAAGAAGATAAAAGATCTCTGCTTGAAACTTAAGAATAGGGAATGAAGAAGCGAAAAAAAACCGAATATTGGCTTGTTTTGATGGAATTCCAATTTTTTTCCCATCTTCTTCTTGTTGTTTGTTGTTGAATCGAATTCCAAACAAAGTTTAAAATTATGTCAGCAAAAGCTTCGTGGAATTTCCGTTTGGCTGGAGAAGGAAAGAGAGAGAGAGAGAGAGAGAAGCAAAAAATGGCGATATAAACAATGATGATGAAGTTGTTTTCAATGGAAAAACTAATATTGATTCGATTCGAATCAACAATTGTACTATTGATCTTATTTCATTCGTCAATAATGTTCTATTTGCAATCAGATAATCTTATACGGAAAAAAGGCACCACGTGTTCTAGCCATCCATAGTCAGTGAGACTGAATGCCGCAGTGAATAGAAACAAGATTGTGAACATAAAATTAATAGATAATTTGCCGAAAAGTCCACTTATTCTATCGAAACAAGTTTATTGGGTGAAAAAGTAAGACGAAGAAAATTAAAACAACTTGATACGGCCGAATATGTTGGCCGATTTCCCTCTATCTCTCTCCCTCTCTCTCTCTCCCTCTCTCTCTCTCTCACTCTGTGCGTGTGTTGCGATGACTGTCAAGTATTTTTCCCAAGCGTTTCGAAAATTATATTCAAATCTAGGTGATAAATTTCGGCTTTTTTCCCCATTTTAATACTTTCTTATCGAATGTTCTGATCGACACATTTCAATTTGTTGTCAGCGTTTTATTTTTCGTTGTGTGTCGCTTTTTCCCCCTCTGAGTGAATTGCGAAATGGCTTTCGATCAAACAACTGACTGGTATTACTGGTATAAATGGAATTCATTCGGGTTCGAAAATCAGCACGAGATTGAAATGAAGATAATGCAATGAAAAAAAGTATAACTGCATTTTTTGACAAATCATTATTGCAGTCGATTTTAGACATTGATGAATTTTATTGGTTGGTTTTTTTTCATTCTCTGCTTCTCTCTCTTTTTCATCTCGCATATCAAATCTCGACTCTCGGCTGAATTTGTGGCATTTCCACTGCGCATTGAGAACGGAGGAGAGAGAGCAATGAAATGTGTGTAACGTGTTGATATCCAATGAGAAAAAAAAATATGTAAGAAATTCATGCATCGATGACCTTGCCGCGTAATATTCTTTTGCCGCATTCCATTTGCCACACATTTCGCTGTGTGTTTTTCATTCGTTTGATCGTTTTGAATATCGCGGACGCGCGCACTCCTTCGGCATGTGATTTTTACAAGTATCAAAATATATATGTGTATGTGTGCAAAATCAACCCAATATTATTGTTTTTCCGTTCGCTCTTTCTTTCGCCTCTTAATTCGCCGAGAGTGTGAATAATGTAATGGGTTCGATCAATGCAATTCATTTTGTGCGGAAGTTAAAAAGGCATACATTTCAATTATTTGCGCTGTGTTCGCGCCGAGTGCTCACTTTTGAGCGTGTGTGCTATTTGGTTTGGTGAGCACGACTCACCGGATGATTATAACGTCTAATACCGTCCGAACTGTTTAAACGCTAAAACATTTAAAAAAAAACAAATACCACGATCTGCTTAGCGTTAGTTTTTTCTTCCATACATATTTATTAAGTGAATAAAGTGGAATATTTTGAGCGTGAACCGATATCGATAGATAAATCTTTTGTACTGTTGTTGTTGTTGTTGTCGCTGTTGCTGCTGCTGTTGTTGTTGTTTCGTTTTTTTTTCTCGTTGTGTTTTGTTTTGTGATTTTCGTAAATGTGTTCATTGAATTTCTTTTGGTCATTTTTTAATGAAAAGACAAAAACACCGTCGACCGGTTACGTTCTTGTAAGAAAACATTCCTATGGCCAATTAACAATAGAGGCATGAGGTAGAAATGCACAAGTGCAAGAGACAAACACACGAACGGTATATTTCAAATGCTTTTCCATGCACACACACACACACACACACACATACACACACACTGCAAATGGCCAATTACCATGGTTATGATGTTGGTGCCTGGTGATTTGGTTGAGCCCTTTCTGCGAGGCCGACATAGCATATCATCATTCATACGGTCGTTATCGGGCGACTGGCAATGGATTGAAACAATGACAACTTGCGCAAACGGATTTTTTTGTCCACTTAATTAACCTAAAAAATATGTGCGGCAAACGATAACGAGCCGAAATGAAAAAGATATTTATGCGTTCAAAATTTCATTTCGCAATGTCAATCGGGGCATTAGCTGTGCCGCGGCTCCGGTGTGTATACCTACATCGAACCGTGCAGTGTCCGTACATTACTGTTGAAAATGGGCGAAGTCGTTAAAGAGAGCCCAGGTATGCATGCGCTTCATGAATACATAATTGCAAACGTGATTCCACACGCAGCTTTCTCCATTATGAGAAACCAAGCACTTTTTTCTCCACCTTTCTTCGGCTGATTTGTTGTTGTTGTTGTTGTTGTTTCTCGACACCGAGATGTGTGTGTGTGTGTGTGTGCTGCTTCTCTTGATTCTATCATACTTCCAAGTTGGCCCAAAAACTTATTTAAAGGTTCATAATCTCGACTGAAAAAAACAACAACACCACCACATAAACCCGTCAACATCTTCAACAGTAACAGCAACACTGAACCTGCTGTGCGATTTCTTATCGGCGGCGGCAGCGACAATATAATTTCTGATCGTTATTTGCATCGATGGATCTGCACACAATTTCACATCAACCGATGAATAATCGGAATTACATTGAACAGTTTGTAACCTCAAATATAAAAAAAAAACAGCAACATCAACCACGGCATAACAGCCGCTCGCAATGGCCACGATAGAAGGAACGCACTTTTATGGGCCATTTAGTCATGAAATGTATAATCAAAACAGCACATCGATTTCGATCGCGATCGCGTGTGTTTATTGTTACATACGAATCCATTCACTCTCAGTCGCAATTTCACAGCGCATTCGATGATATTCTTCATCATCATCAACATCATAACAATATCAAATCAAATCATATATAAGTCATATGCATGAACTTTATAACGTCGTCAATGTTTACCTTTTCCTTTTTTGTTGTTTTAATTTAGATTTTTGAGTGAGACACCTTGAATTCGATGGTGTCAATTTGAAGGTTTTTTTTCGTTCGTTTGTCTCGTTTCTGTTTCTAATCCAGTCTTGTATGTGGAATTAATTAGGCGATGAGCTGCGAAAATATATATACAAGTCCAGAATATAATTGGAAATGGCGCGTGTGTATTTGATATTTATGATTTGTAGATTAGTTGATCACACAGTGCCCAGAAAATTTAACCTACTTCTTGAATTAGATTGATCGCTTGTTATTTTTGTGTGTGTATTCAATCGGTGTGTTTTGTTTTTTCTTCTATTTGCAGATTCACGGTGAAATGAATGCGTTTAATTAAGTGAAGCACGAAACAAAATAGCACAAGGTAAAGGCAATAGCAGAACAGAAAAGAAGAAGAAAAAAAAACTGAAGCAAAACTGAATATGTCTTCGTAACCGCAACATTGAATGCAGAACTAACAGCAGTTCTTGAAAACGGACGAAACACACAAAACAAATAGTTCAATACGCGAAACAAAACACACAACAAAAAAAAAACAAAGCAACGAGTAGCCAATATAAAAAGAAAGACAACGATCGGATATAAGACATCGACGTTCCAGAAAAATACTTTCAACACTTTTCGCTTTGATCGAATATCGGCCAATCAAAGAGCTGTGAAAGAGAGTTGTTGAGAGAGCGTGTACGGACCATAAATTAAGCAATTATGTTGGATCCCGATTTGGATGAATATTTAACAGAGTATCGACTACAAGCGCCAGCAGAACCAATCAGCCATTATGAAGGTATAATTTGCATAAGTTTTTTTTTCTCTCTCTCTCTTTTTCTTTGATATATTTATAAAAAAAAAATTCGGTCGGATTATGATGCGTCTTACAATCGGTCAATCGTCCCACTGTGCGTGTGTCTATGTGACATCAAGTTTGCGAAACGTGAAATTAACAGAAAACACTATATTGGCTTGCCAGTCCTTCAACCGACTCATCGAGCTCAATAAATTCAGCTAAGTTTTTTTTTGATGAACGAGACACACTATACTCGCTGAAGGCCACTTTTATTTGCAAACAAATCCAATGGGTCTAATTGTATGGCATCAATTTTTCGTTCGCATATTTACTCGTAATTATCACCTTTGATAATAATGATGTATCTCTCTCTCTCTCTCCTTCCCTTTATATCGACTGTGTGCGAAAAAAAAAATTGTCAGCAAACCACAAACAATCACCTGCTTGCCTATCAAAACCCATGTTCTAGATGGATCTTAATGATCTATTTTTGTTCTCTTGTCCGTCGGGCATGTTATCGCTTGTGCTGTGTTTTTCCCTCGACGAACACACCGCATTTACTATATATACTAATTTCTCTAAATGCTCAATTGCATGGCATTCAATTATAAATCACACTTAAACCAGAGCGATCTACTTGCGGGCGCTCGCGTAGCGCACACTCTCTTTCTCCCAATATCGCTTGCAACGAAATAATCGAAAAGTCGGCTCAGAAATTAACCCAGATTTTTGTGCAAACACAGGCAACCAATTTTCCAATATATGCGCAATAAACATCAACAACGTGTCAATAGATGTGGTGCAATCAATATCGAAATGTGTGCAAACTGCAATTTTCGAATTATTCGCAGTGGAACATTTTTTGGCTGAATTCTAACCATTGAGGTTTCTACCATAAATAATTCCAAAATACACTAGTTCGCTTGTTTTTTTTGCGCAAGCTACCGTTGACTGGGTCAATAAATCAATTGCTTCAACAATTTTTTTTTCTGTGTGAAATGTATGTATCGGTAAAAACGATTTAAGGAACAAAACAAAAACACCTATTGCAACATCGAAATAGACGGGAAAAAAATTCGTTCATTGGTGGAAGAAAGAAAAATAAAACACAGATCCAAAGAATGCTCTCTGCAAAGCCACACTCAAATTCCATTTTACCTGGAGTTTGTAAGAGCGATTTTCTTTGGTGTATATTGAATATATATTAACTAATGTTCAATCAGCGCGTGCAACAATTGCGCTAGTGGCCTTTCGTTTCTTTTGTTCACATAATTTGATTTGTTGTGTATTGCTTTTGTTGTTGTTATTGCCGCTGCTTTTGTGCAAGTGTTTATTGAATTCAAGTCAAACCGTTTGAATCAATTATGGCTGGCGGAATAGCGGAATATATGCGCAGACGGCCAATGTTACGTTTATTTTTATTTTTTTTTTTGATAAATGTTTTTGATTATAAATTTATCATCGCGGTTGAGTTGAATGCGCGAGAGCTCGAGCACATGTTCTGCAAACTGCACACAATAGACGCATTCGAGCGTCACTTTCGTTCATTTCAAAATCTATCTATTTAATTTTTTTTTTATTTTTTTTTTTCATTTCTGTTTCACTGTCGGTTTTGTTTCGTTTAATTTTTCGGTTTGCGATAAAATCAACGATTTAGTTTTTGTTTTCCTTTGCTTTTCTTTCGTTTTATTTAAGCGGAACTTGCGCGCGGTTGCATTTGCGATTCGCCTTGAGCAATTTTCTTACCCGTAAACATTATAATAATGGCATATTTGTTTCACTCTATCTGGTTGTCGTCGACGATGGTGTCTAATGTGTTCAGTGTAAATTGCGCTAGATCACCTTTGACACTCTTCATTTTGAATTGAGGCAGGAACACTTTTCGATTGGATGAACCCTAATTTTGCTATGATATTCTTTTTGTAACTTCGAAAACCCACTACTACCGACTACATATACCGACCATTATTTATTTTTTTTATTTTTGTTTACCGTGACCAATGGCTCAATTAATTTTCATTTTATAGATGGCGAATTGGAAGCTGAATGGTTAGTTGCTGCGGGCTTTCCTCAATTAACGAAGGCTTTTCAGGAGGTATGTATATTTGTATTTTTTTTCTATTCTCTTTCTTTGTTGTGCACGGCTGTCTGTTGTTTTAATTTGGTCAATTTCAAGTTTGTGTCTTGTGCAGTCCAATCATTTTCCCATTGTGTGTGACCAAAGTGTGTCGAGGGCAAAAATGGAATGCTACTGCTCAAAAGAAAACAAATTTGAAATTGGCATTGCAATCGGACCGGGGCATTCGAAAATATGCACCAATTGTTTGAATTTGTGGTCGTATTAATAGCAAATTTGTTGATTTATGGATAAGTGTTTGCTTTAATTATTGGATTATTTGTAATTGATAAATTGTATGGTTCGATTTTTGCAGGGCCGTGAGTTGCCAACGAATGAATTGAAATCGAGCATTGCCGGCCTACCGCGATCACATGCTGAGGCTGTCAAGCAACGAGTGAAGGCACTCAATCGAACAGTTCGTGGACGAGCCCGATCACGCCATTCCCGAAAGCCAGACATTCGTGATGTTTTCCGTGATGTGGACACATCGAGTACGGGCACACGATCGCGCAGCGCAACACCTGACTCACTAGACTCATTACCAGCTGACACCGATCACTGGAACAGCCATCAAATGTAAGTGTTTGATATCATTTTCTGACCGTTCTTCAATTTTTTTATGCATTTTCAGCATATTTCTTTGCCTCTTCTGAAAAAAATGCAAAACTTATGGGGAAAAAGGAGAAAATACGCAGTTTTCAAACCAAAAGTTGTTCATTTTAATAATATCTCTCGTGTTTTTTTTTTATCGAATCTCCTTTTCAGACCAAGCTTTGTGTCGATTTTCGACAATCCAACTGCAGCCATTACGAATGCTCGAATCAAACAGAATTTACGACGAACACCAAGCGAACCATTACGTGTGAGTGCCGACCTATTCCGAGGATCACACATTCGATGCGATATCCCATTTTACACAGCTGACGGCATTGAACTATTGGGCTTTCAACGTCTTGGAACAATTCATTTGCCACGAATTCGATCTGGTTCAGATCCTTCATGTTCACTTGGGTACGCTATAATTTGTCAACCATGTGAAATATGGCATTGATTAAAATTCAATCATAAACATTATTTTTTTTGTCACTTGCAGACGCCGTTCAACCCATATGACCAATGCCCGTAGTCACAACAATTTGTATAACAGCAATTCGCCAGATAACACATCATCATCATCGCAACCATCAACACCCGAGCATAGCCCATCCAATTCACCATTGCGTCACAGTTTGTTGAGCAGCAATGCCACGTCCACACCATGTCATCATCATATGCATAACTCTAGTCCAGAACCAGTGAGAAGTATTCGTAACCATTCGGAGCCAGTTAGTTTTGAGAATTTATGCCGTGACAATGGCATCGATCAGACGGATTGGTGTGAACCCGAATACAACGAAGGTGGATGTGATATTGATCAATTGAATGAAACCGAATTGAAGAAATTACAACCATTGCTATGGCTCGAATTGGCCACCATATTCGATCGTCACAATGTTGCATTCGATAAACGCAAACCATTCAAGAGAAAACGAAAAGAAGAGGGTAACGTTTTTGGTGTTTCATTGAATGCATTGATTCGACGCGATCAACAAGTTACTGGTGAAGACTCAACATTGGTTCCATTACTTTTGCAGGGGATTTTGGGTAATTTCTTCTGATCCATAGTTTTAATTGTCTTGATGATTGCATCAAAATACGAAAATGAGCTAGTTAACTAACTTTAAATTCGATTTTCTAGATAATCTGCGTGCTCGAGGTACCAAAGAGGAGGGTATTTTACGTGTTGCAGGCAATAAGCAGAAAACCGAAATGCTATACAATGAGCTCGAGCAAAACTTTTACTCGAAACACGATAAAGTGAGCGGAATCCTGAAAAAGGCTGGCGTTCACGATTTAAGCGCATTATTAAAGCGATGGCTGCGCGAATTGCCAACGCCGTTACTCGCTAACGACCTGGTACATTTGTTCTATCAAACAGCAGGTACGGAGAAGGAAAATCATATTTTTATCGCTGACTTTTAATTTTAAAGTTCAATTTATATTTTAACTATAGTGAATAAAAAAAACTCATTTAAAATTGTTTTTCATTCCGCAGACATCCCGGTGCCTGATCAATTCAAAGTGATGTCAATATTGTGTCTGCTGTTACCACACGAAAATCGAAATACATTGCGTGCGTTCCTAGAGTTTTTGAGATGTGTGATCGACAACCAGCAATACAATAAAATGTCCAAACACAATGTCGCCACAATTATTGCTCCGTCATTATTTTCGCCGAGGTAATAAAATAAATATACACACAAACCTTTTTTTCGACATCCTCATATGGAAATTCTCACGAAATAACGAAATTTTTATCATTTTTCAAGTCGATTTTTCGATTTTAATTTCTAATTTGAATTCATATTTTGCAGATACATCCATCCTGCTGATAAAAATGATATAGCCGCTCAGGTGCGAATGGCGGCACAATGCTGCAAATTGGCCGATATCATGATAAGTCGTTCCGAACAGTTGTGGACGGTGCCACAGCGATTGATCGATCAAGCGCGCCAAATGAATACGAAAAACGGCATGGGCAAACGTCAAACGCGCAAAGTAAAAAATTCCATATCACCAATCATCGGCAATAGTAGCGGTGCTGGAAATCACAATGCTCGCATCAATGCTAATCATGTACATAAAATTGCAATCTAATTTTAGCAAATTCCAAACGTAGACCATAAGTAGCTAGGGAAATTGAATATTGTAGAGTGATGATGAAAACAATTGAATATTGGAACATTAAACGGGATCTGCAATAAGAAATGGCATGAGAATGGAATTGATATTTCAGAATATGACGAAGAACGACTATTGAAAGTATTAAATTTCATGTCACTTTTAAAGTTTGAATATGTAAAGGCAAGCCATTCCGTACGGAATGAGAAATTTATGAGATTGACCGTAATATTAACCGTATTGTTTGTTGGTGTTGCAGGCAAAACACACATTTCATTTTTTTTTTTATGTAGACACCATACTTTGAAAATCGATGCACCGAATCGACCACGGCGGTTCAGTGGTCAAAATCGGCCATAGACTTAACAGATTACCATTCTTATCTACGGGCACAGTAATTGAACCATTGCGACAAACAAATTCGTTCAGAATATTTTAGTTTTAAAGTGCAACATAAAGTTTTTTTTCCATATGGAGTTGTTGTTGTAAACTCTATATAAAAAACATTTCATGTTGCACTTTGAAACTAAAAATATTCTGAGGGAATTTGTTTGTCGCAACGGTTCAATTGTGCAGAATAATTTAATAATACAAAAAAAATCACTGAACCTAAAGAAATAGACAGGAAGAAATGAAAAAAAAAGAAACACCTAAGCCAGTTCCAGAAATAATAGTGACAACACCATGAGGACATAAAAATTTACATGCAAATAAAAACCGTTTCATTTTTACAAATGAATTGCGTAATTAACTAACTGAAGTCCGATGCATGGTACTCTATTTACAAGAAGAAAAAAAAATAAGAGAATTCAAATCTATTCGATTCGATTCGATTGAATGATTGAAACTAGTTAATATGATTTACGCTTTGATTAGTTCCTGCTTCGGTTCTTTGGCGCTAAAAATAACGAAACACCTCGTCTCTGGGGCGGATGCACACAAAATAAGAAGAAAAAAATTGGAAAAAATTGCATTTTAGTTTAATTAAAGGAAATGAAAGTATTATTGAATCGGAGATATTTTTAGACGAAATTAATTTTTTTGTGCTGTTTTTTTTCAATCGAGTATATATTTTTTTATATACACACACTATCACATTTTTTTCCTTCATTTTCATCATTTACAATAAACAACTAAATTGTTGACAGTTGTGCATAATACTGAAGATTCATCCAAAATACATAAAATAATTGTAAGAAAAGAAATAGCAAGCATGGAAATGTTATGAAAATATTAGGTCAAAATGCTTTCCATTTGATGTGGAATTGATGATTTTAGACGGTCGAACTGTGCAATTTGGTCAAAATCACTTACTAAATCTACTTAGTTTTAGTTTTGACGATATAACATTGGAAGTTAACAAAATATTTTGCACAAAGAATTCATTTAATTTAAATCCTCTCAATCCGAACAGTAAAATCGATGTGAAAAAATAACAACAAACAATTTTTAATCTTGACGATTCGACTTTGAAAATGAATGAAACCATTTCGTTTTGGTATTTCTTAATGTAAGCAATCAACATCTGATAGAATGGTCACAATTGATTCGACTCATTTCTGATGTCGAAAGATAAATAAGCAATTAAACCAAATTTGAGTTAGGCATTTGAACTTAGTTTGAAAGAAAAATTAGCGGTTAAATTCGATAATTATTAGAGATATTTGTTTGGTGAACATATTACATTCATTTGAGTATAAATTGCATACTTAATAATATGTATAATTCAAAAAAATATAAGCCAAAATTGTTTTATTTCCACATTTTAAGCCATTTTTAAGCGATTGATTGGATTCGCTATCATCTCGTTGAGTGTAGCGCATTATATTGGACGTAATTTCATATTCTCTTATTCTTTGATGAGAAAAAAAAAACGGTGCTTGATCAACTTCATTTGAACTTTCATATTTGACATGTCAACGCGTGTGTCATTTTTGCGCGCAACATTTGCCATCGAATGTGTGAACACTGGACACACATTCGTTGGTGACATTTGCCGCGAAAACACATTGGCAGTATCGCTGCTGCTGACACAAGCATTTTTCGTTCATAAGCCAACAAAGGACGTTTCTATTCGACGCAATTAAATTCTGATCGTGTTTTCGCGATTTCAAGTCGTCGATTTTATTGCATTTTTCAGAACATTCATTGTAAGAACGACTTGGAAAGTGTGAAAATCCACCAAAAATCGATTAAAAGCAAAATAAAGTCGGTGCAAGGATATGGATAATAAAAAGGAGTAAGTACATTTGATTCATAATGATTCGCGTGAATATCAGCTTCGGCGTGACACATGGAAAGTGTCCGAATAGATTCATTGTTCGTTCGAATTATTGAATTTGTTTATTGTGATAATAAATGTTTAAGACGAGACAATTGTGACTTTAATCCAAATAGATGTAATGAATATTTAGAGAGACAGAGAGTGTGTATTTATAAAAGTTTCCAATTTAACGACAAAGCCAACCTAACCTCAAACACATTCTTTGGTTTGATTTTCTATTCATTGATTCGTAGGCGATCGGAATTTCCACGGTGTGAAGAAGATTCCAACGATCGGACGACATTTTCAATCCACAGCATACAATTTGGTGACTTGGCCGAAATCAAACAAGATGGTGACATTAAGCCAGAGACAGTGTCTGTCGGTGAATTGGTTGATATACCCGCATCAACTTATCGGGTTGCAAAAAGCAATGGTCTAGGCAATGGTCTTTATTTTAGTGGGCTTGCTGATGAATATGACTTTGATTTCCAAAGTTTGGACGAGGCAAAGGTCGAAATGAAGGCAAATTGTGATGACAAGAAAGAAGAAGAAACCAACACAAACGTCGATTGCCCAGAAGAATCGGCAGAAAATCAACCAAATCAACGTGACAAACCGTCGCATGATGATGGAGATTTGGTGATTCCAGAAATTGATGATAATCTACATAATATACCAGAAGAAAGCGAACATGATGAGCCACCGCATGATGAAGTGGATATGTTGGTTCCAGAAAGTGACGATAGTCCACACGACATACCAGAACAAATCGACAGTGCACATGAAAATCCACATAAGTGTGATTCTTGCGAATTTTCGGCTCAGTTTGAGTCTAGTTTAAAGCGACACTTGCTGAAGCACACCGGCGAGCGGCCATTTGGATGCGATTCCTGTCCGAAGCAATTCACAACGAAACAAATTCTCCAAACTCACATGAAAGCTCATGTCAGCGACTTTCCGTTTCATTGCTCGGGTTGTTTGCAAGGATTCAACGAAGAAGACCAGAAGAAGGCACACGAAGTCATTTGTCAAACTCTTCGTTATGAATGCTATGTGTGCAAGGGATCGATTGGATCTGATAAAACGACAATGGTGATTCATATGCGCGTGCACAGCGGTGACAGACCATTCAAATGTCAGCAATGCTTCAAACACTTCACAAAAAATGGAAATCTACACAGACATCGGAAAATTCATGCTCACCTCAACAAGCACATGAATCGTGTTCACAACAAGCGCAACTGACCAACGCATTTCCAACGAAATAATTCTATTCTCTGACCGAAACATTGTCTACTCATTTTAAAACAATTTTATCCATTTTGAAATCATTATATTTTTCACCCACACAACCTGTGTAGCACAATCAAGATTGTTCATTACATTTGAAACTTTCAATTGATTTTTCTTCGTGTTAAAAGTTAGTTTACCTAGAATTAAGTTTCTCCTTTTCCATGCATGAACTAAATTATAACATCATTCGATTGCAATAAATAATAAAGAGAAGAAAATGTTCAAGATTTTGAATAATCATCATCATGATAATGATAAGTGGCGGATGAAAAAAAAGATTGTTTGAATTTGATGGGTTTTTACCGAAAAATTTATGTATTCATTACATAGTTAATTCGAAGAAATTCTGCACTGAATTCAAATTATCCAGTACAAGGTAAGTGATCCATTATCGAAAATAGATGAACAAAGTTTGAAGAATGCCAGAAGGGAAGGCAGAAGATAACGGCTGCCCGTGATGACATAATGATACACTATTAGTGTTTTTTTTATTAATCGTTGAATTTTCCATTTGAACAAAGAATTGATGGTAGAGTGACATTAAGAAGCTGAAACTTTTCGTTTCCCAGAATGGTTAGGCATTTGCTGTCATCTATGTTGAAATCAAATACCGAAAATATTCTATTGTTCTACGCTTTTCAATCAAAATGTCCAATTCAATCAAATGAATACTTTAAATTCTTATCTAATTGAAAATAAACCAGTTTAATTTACTTGCAGTATCTCCTTTGTGCTTATCAATGAAATTTAAATGGAGAATTTTTAATCGATTATCCGATGGAATATTTTTTCCTTTCGCAGTTTGTGCATTAATTTGATGCTTTTTCCCCCTTCATTTTAAAGCAATTAACTCTCGGTAACAGGCGGTGGAACGAACAACCTGTGAATATGGATTGCACACAGATTTTTTTTTTAATTCCGCACAGTACGGGGCCCACCGAAGCCAACCATTGCTATCATTTAAATTATTCATCGCAATTTATCGCTTGTCTTAAGCCCAATGCCATTCGAGTCATAAATTCGTTCGAAAAATTCCAGTTTCCAGTAATCAAATAAATTTGTTTAGCATTTGGTGGTTTGACTCATTGGCACTTTCGGATTGAATGAGAGTGGCCGGTGTGAGTGTGTGTACGCGCGCGAGTGAATAAGTGAGTGTGCAAGGGAAAAAAAAAATTGAAGTTGAAATTCCGATGGAATGAACCACGTATAACCACGTACCAGCACGTAGTATACAGTACTAGCTACGCCTGGTCGCTCACAAGAATTTCGATAGAGAGCCAAATGTTGTCGAAATTGCTACAATTGTTTCCTCATCTGGTTGCGGCTCAGACTGCTTTGCATTTCATATGCATAAAAGAAACACAGAAAATTATTGTCGCAATAAATTCAGCTACTCTTGCAGGAACAAACGTATGACAAATTAAAAGAGTCTTTCGATTGAGTCGAAAATGTGGTGGTTCTCGATCATTATTACAATGTATGCGAAATTGCCGTTGCATTGGCCTATCCACACACACTTTCATGTGTGCCATACTGCAGTACAGTGCAGAGCCGAGCAGAGGTGTGAAGCGAACAAAAGGCAACCAAAAAACTGCCTGCGAACACACAACCAAATACCAATAAAAATTAACGAGGCTATTTCGTAGCATATCAGGCAATACGTTAATATCACAATATAATTTTTTTTGTTAATTTTTAATCTCTTTTGTTTTCTCTCTCTATCTCTCCTGTTGCACCGCTAAATAGTTTGAATGCTTCCATATTCGATTTTTTTTGTCGGAGTTTTTTGCTTACTCTCTCTCTCTCTCTCTCTCTCTCTCGTTTTCTCCCTCGGTGTCGTGTCTTATGCTTTAGAATTGCGTTGGTTGCGTGGGCACCGAGCGAAAATTCGAAAAATCGACGGATGAATGAGACGGAAGCGATGGGTGAGCAAGACAGTCGTCGTCATCGTCGTAAAAACGAAGAGAAAAAAAAGTGTACTGCATTGGAATAGAAAACAAATGGTAAGCTCAGTATTAATTGCCGTATGGATGGTTATTATACTATATGCGGCCGGACAATGGCGTGTAATTTGATTTCATAGTGCTGTTTTATTCACTTAGGGCCAGCGCTTACAACACTTGCAACAGTGCAGTTTCATTTGCCATGTACCGTGCTGAATGTGGTTGTACCGTCGATCCACTCCCGGCATATATGCATGAATCTATGATTCGTGCAAGCGCGCACCAAAACATTATTATTGTGCAATTGTAGGCGCTTGCTAGCTCACATATTGTCCATTTTGTCCGCAGATCCCGTCGATTTGGATATTTACCACACAATTGAGCCAAATGAATTTGGATGGTATCATTTTTAATCATCCAGTTGAAAAATCGACCGTTTCCCTATGGAATTTTGGATTTACTTGCGCTGCTTGTGCTTTTTATCTTTTCTTCGAGCATTGTTATTTGTTTTCCTTCATTTTGATCTGCACATACACACATTACACAAATATATCTATTTCCATGTTCAGGTAATGACTGCTCCCATATGTCACTTTCTTGTCGACAGAGCCCGAATAAGAATATATTCTATTAGCAAATGTATTGTTAAATTTGCGAGAGAGAAAAAATCGTATCAAATATATTAGCTCGACAGCCGAGCAGCAGAAATTGCGATGTATGGTTTTGGTGCACTTAGTGAGAAAACACACTAAAATGAGTGCTGAAAACGCATTGCACACTGCACCATAGACCATATGCACACTGCTACTGCTGCTGCTGCTGCTGCTGACAATGTACCAAACGAATTCAATCAAAAGCCGATATCGAACCAGTTTTCTTTGGCCAAACCTTTGCAAATTTGCGGCTAATGCTAAGACCAAATTCGAACCGAGTCGAATGCATTCATGCCTTACCTCCGAAAACGCTTACTTTCACGACACACACACGCCCGAGCGTGGCACAAAGGCATTTTGGCTTGACCATTGTACCCACACGTTTCAGTTTTTTTTCTTCTCCATTCGGTTTCTCAATCAAAATCAATTCGGGCACAAAATCACGGTAATTTTTATAAAATTACTGTTTCTATTAGTCAAAAGCGCCTTTTTTCCACACGTAGATGAAAATGTTACAGTGCGAATATGACTGTGAAAGGAAAGAACACAAATTGAAAGACAATAGTAAATCTAAATTGATTTACAAGGTGCTGATTTCGTTGAATTTAACTGAAATAGCGTGACCAAGCCAAGTTTAAGCTTCAGATTTATAAAGGAACGTTGGAAATACTGATTTCGAACGTTCTTCGTTCTGATTACATTTTGGCATCGATTGAGTACTCGAAGAAGATTTTTTTCGTCCTCTACCTAAGAATTTCCCCATTTATACAGTCACTTTCAGCCTTGATTAGCAGTATCACTTTAAAATGGATCCAAACCATGAACCCTCCAAATCCTGCATTTAAAAAAAACACTAATCAACCCTTCGTGCTACCCTGTACACTTGTATTCAATATTGAAATACGAATGAAAATGTATCAAAATGACTGATCACGGACGGTATCATTTATCCAATCAACAGATTCGTTTTGAGTGTTTTTTTTTTCTCCTCCAATTTATGGAGAAAAATTGGAACGAACATAAAAAGCGCACCGATTCTATTTTTCAAATTGATAGAACGATTGTTGACAGCGGAGGAAATTGAAATGTGTATATTAATATTATTGGGAGGTTTTTTTTTTGGGCACATATGTATGTCCACATCGACTGAAAACGTCTAAATCGCATAAATGTGTTTATTTCAGGCGCGCTGTCAGGTATTTCATTTTCGTTTGTTCATTCGATCAGTCGGTCGGTCGGTCGGTCGGTTGGTTGGTTGGTTTTTTTCTCCTTCATTTGGGTGCAATACTCTTTGTTTTGATGACGTAAGATTTGGCTTGCACTCTAATAAATATCCAAAAGACGATTGATGACTGTAAACGTCAATTACTGCATGCCGATCAACGTTTTTGATAAATCTGAGCCGAAACAAATTCATTTACCCAATGACCACACGGCTCCATAGCACGCACTTCGACTCTTATGTTTTTCTTTGAATTCAGATTGACCAAGTGCGCACTGTGCGCACATTCGAAACAATCGAATTGAAAAATGCATTCTCCAAATCGACGCTAAGCATGCAACAACAACAACAATAACAAGCCCAAAGAACAATTAGTAGAATATCGGCGATAAAAAAAAAATCAACAACAGCCAACCAACAACAGCAGAGGGAAAAAAAACATTCTTTTTCTTGTACATTTGTTACGTGAATGATTGTACTCGAGTTTGGAGCTCGAAGCTGTCGAATAGTTCACACAATGTGCAAATGATTTAATAATAAAACTTGTATTTCAATTTGAAAGTGATACACATTTAAAATTCAAGGACTTGAAGAGAAAGGACATAAATATGCGGCGGCATGCGAACACGTTCCATTATATTGAAGCCGTATAAAATGCCCGAGTGTGTGTGTGTGTTCCGTGCAATGAAAACAGAAACCGATGGCGTGACCACTTTCATTCTCAACATTACAGTATCATAATACATGGTTGACTATTTTTTGATGTTTTTGGCTCGACTTTAATGCATAAAACTGACAGGCACACATCAGGAAGACGACATCATGCAAACAAGGTGTTGTAAATTTCGAGCAGTTTAATTCTCGTTGTGGCTTTGGAACGAAGAAGAAGTGAAGAAAAAAAGCAGCAACTCACTGATGGCTATGATTGGTGTAGGCGTCAATAAGTTTTGAATAATCAACTATCGATGTTTTGCGTCAATAGGTTGTCAATTGATATTTGCAATAAGGTCTTTCGATTAGCAATAACATCATCAAAATAATGGGCAAATTTACTGGTTCACTGAGTAAAAAAACATTTTACTTCTTGCATTTAAATAAGCAGACAAATATCAATCAAAATAATGCCGTCAATTGAACAAAAAGTATCACTTCCATCCAATGGTATTTGCTCATATGATCTTAGATTTGTTCATCCGTTTTCTTCTCTCTCACATTGAACTTTTCGCCCAATAAAAATTATTCATAAATGCAAAGTGGGCAAATTCAATATGCAAAGTCACCTGTGTGTGAATTTGTTTTATGTCATGTTTTTTCGGTATGTAATGCGGAGGTATTTAGCCGTCAACGTGTTTATAAAATATTGGTTCTAAATACCAACCCCAGCCGATTGCTTAAGGCACGCACTGCACTGCGTGTGTAACACGTGTGTATTTTTCTCTGTCGATTCGAGGTCAATTGCAACTCCATTTAACGGCGGCGGTGGCGACAACGAAGGCATCGACGCCGCATTATTCGCATTTTTTCTTTTTCCTGTTGATTTGACATTGAAATGCGCAAACCAGATACTTGATTTGCTTTTATTTCCAAACTATTTTTAACACAGCCTTTGAACGAAATGGCACACAAGAAATGTATGGCGAAAAAAACGTGTAAAGAGGAAGTAAATGGGAGAGCAAAAGAAAAAAAAAATTAATGATAATTTTTGACAGAAGATCCAAAAAATCAGGTTGCAACAATCACCCAAGTGTAATTAAGTGGGTTTGAGCATTAGCACAACGCGTTTGCATTGTTTGTACAAACGTAAATACCAATCGATCACGTAGAAGCATTCGCTGCAATTATACACGTTAGTAAATTTAGAATGCCATTCGAATTGGTGGAAAAATGTTGGTGAAAAAAAAAAAACGTTTCATAAAGAGAGTGCAAGTGAGAGCGAGCGAGAGCCGAAAGAGAAAGAGAATTGTTTTTTTTTTAAAACGTCGATGAAATATGTATACAAGCTTATATCGTCTACGCCAAATGGTCCGGGCAATTAGAAAAATGAAAAAGCATAAATTGCACACAAAAGCCGACAACTTAACCAATATTGAAATGCTTAATGAGATCATAATAATTAACCAGTTAGCACAATATCGGGGCGCGTGTGCCCGACTGCAGTGCGCAGAAACTGCGCAATCGATTTGATATTAAACACAGACCAAATGCTTAGAAAATTGCAATAAATTCGCTTGATTTTCCACATTTATTCAATATCAGCGGAACAATATCGCTTAATCACTTGGCTTTGAGCTAGTTTTTTTTTCCTTCGTTTCTGCTAGTTTTCAGCTCACCGCGCTTTACACACGCCAATATTCTGTCTTCGGCTGGGTCTCACTTTTCCTGATTCGTATGCACGCTCTCTCAGGACAACTTTAAATGTTCGCTCAGTGCGCAAATCCAACCACAGAAGAAAAAAAAACTGGATTCGCGTTGATATTAATTGATTTGTATGTGTGTTTTCTATGCATACAGGCGAAATTATATAATTTTCAGGTGGCAGTGAATTTCTTCTCTCTTTCTCGCTCTCGATCCGTGCCGTGGCACCAAAAGCGGATGCCCATTTTTTATTCGATGGCCGCATTTTCTCTTTTACTGATTTCATTACGAAGTACGGTGAGAGAAGCGAAACGAATGCACATCATTCAGGATCGTTTATGGTGATTATGTAAACACTCTGGCTTCACGCTCTCGTCACTAATGCCAATGTGTAAAACGATGTGCTAATGCTGTTCATTTGTGACACTGATTCATTATAAATGTCATCCATCGACATCCAGGAAGAAAATTTCCTTTCCCTCTAAATTACACTAGTCAACTCTCGCACACCGTGCGCGCGTGAGTGTATGAACATAAAAACAAAACGTATCGAAAAACGGTTTGAATAATAAACGAAAAATGATTATGTTTATTCATCGACATATTTGGAATTGGAGCGAAACGAAGGTGTCCAATGTTATTTCTATAATTAACGATATTCCGAAGAAAAAGCGCAGAAACCATTTGGTTTGATTTTTTTTTTCAACAGCCGTTGCAACTGAACTGCAATCCGATTGAAATTTTTAATTCAATTAAGACTTATTTTTACATTTCACACTGCAACCAACGCGCATTTTCCGTATGAACGGAAAGCATAACTATGAATTGCAACTATTTTTTGAAGCAGCTGTAACTGAACAAATACGAAAATATACACAAATTAAGATGTAATTTGGTAGAATTACATGAAATGAAAATTTAAAGAAGAAAAACTTTTGATTCGACAAACAGTTTTCTTTGTCATTTTCCTGTTTTTGATCAAAATTTGGAAATTGATTGAAGAAAAATATGAATGAAATTACTCAGAAGAGACTTGAAAATCTGCCCAAAATGGGAAATTAGATTGAAAGAATGAATATTAGATGTATTATATTTACTAATATTTCGAAGAAAATCGGTACCTAAAATTGCAGAATATCAACTAGTATCCCCATGACCGGAGTCATTATATGAAACCATACGCCTTCATCCAATTTTTTTTTTCTTCAAAAAAGTTTCCTTTTCTTCTTCAAGCCATTCGAATGCATTCGACGGTAGTTAGAATGTGCAAGCGTGAAAATGTGTGTCATTGACAAATGGTTGTGCTTCTGTCACGAGCAAGCCATAAAAATAAAATCATTGGTCAGTTTAAGGCGAGCGATAAGAAACGTATAAGAATCGCCTAAGGAACAAGAATCCGTTCAATTGGTTGGCGATTTAAATGTTGCGATAAATCCATCGGCTGAATATTGTCATACAGAATGTGTGGTGAATGCGCTTGCGCGATCTTTCATATGGAATAAGATAAATAGATGTGTGAGTCAAGCGCCAACATTTCGTGGCACTATGATTGAAATTGATTCTTGCAACAGTCTCTCATAACGTCAATACACACCGTTGATCAGGGAAATATTCAGATTTACAAACCAAAAACGACAGAAGGGAAAAAAAATTGCTTGAGAATTTACTCACTTTTCCGGACCAATGATCAAGGGCAACATGTTTCTTTCGCGTGGCATATTTGTATCTATCTGCGTTTAATAATCTCTCACCGGATACGATACGAATTGTATTGGCGCTTGCCGCAACGCATTTATACTGTGTACATTGTCATTTCTGTTGTTTCGATATTTCTTAAAATGAACTGATGCAAAACGTGACAGCAAGAATGCGACAAAAATGAAAAATAAATGCGTGATCTTTGGCAATAAGATCTCCGAATTGGATTTTTTCCGCCCCAGAAGTAAGCGAAATCGAAACACACACACACACACATAAAACGCGGCCAAATTCTTAAGAAAGTGCTTCAATGCTGTCAACGTAGTAGATGTGCCATTCATTTGTTAAATGCATGTGATTTGCAACTTGTAATTGATCGACTTGAATGTCCGAGTCATAAAAAGTCCGTACTTCGTTTACTGCGTACCACATTTATCCGGCTGTTTGAAGAAACACGGCTGCTTGTATTGAAATAAGCATATACGTATCTCTTGAACATTGTAATGTATAAATTACGGAAAAGCGTTAAGCCGTAAGCTGCAACAGACGATGGCTAAACCAGGCAAAGCCACTATAAAACGCGCTTCGCGAAAGAAAGGGAAAGCACTTTAGCACGATGTAGAAAAAAAATGAAAAAAAAAATAAACGAAACAGAAACCGAAACACAAACGAAAAAGAAAAAGAAGCAGAAAAAAAATCGAGCAAAACTAAGTGTGAAAGCATATAAAATATAGTTAAACTAGAGTTGCATGCAAAAATCAAGTATCGAGAGAATATGTGTGTACATTGAGACAATGACAATGCGCGTCCGGGGAGTATGTGAGTTTTGCACTCGAATTGCTTGTATGCGTGAGATGGCTAAGGTGCGGTATTTGTATTTAAACCGCCGGAGTCACTTCAATTGAATCAGTATTACAATTCATTCCGAATCGGTACAATATTGGAAGTTTTGTGTGTTACACGCGTCCATTGAAAGAAACATTTTTTTTTTAAACAAACGTGATATATAGTTTTTTGTTTCAGTACAACAAAATAGATATAACACATAATAGTCCAATATGAATTCGAAAGTGGTAAGAATTCAACAATCATCCACAGTCACATAACGAGAAAAACACAGAAAACACATGATATAAATACAATTGCATTGCAACAACAACAAAAAAAAATAATAACGGATGACACAAAATGTTATCGAGTGTGAAAACATAGATACCTTCAGAGAAAATTGTGATGATATTTTTGTCAAAAATTGCACTTCATTCCAAAATAGCATCCAATTGTTTCATAAAAGATTGTGTGAATTCATATTAAATGAATGCGAACTAAGGACACGCGTGTTAAAATGTTGAACGAATTCATGTTGTGTTGCATTTCAAATTTTGTGTGGCGGTTAATTTAACCAATTGTTGTTTTCTGTTGTAGATTTGCTTTTTCGTGCTCATCGCCGCTGTTCACTCAGCTCCACAACACGATCAACCAGCACGGTACCCAGCTGGTGTAAATCCAGCACTTTGTCCAGGTAAAGAAAATAACGAACTTTTCTTTTGGCTTTTCATTGACAAGATGTCGCTCAAACTATGCAATCAATGTGAAATTAACGAACTATTCTGATTTTATTGTGAGCGCATTTTTTTTTTGTATCAAATAGGAATTTTGAATATTTTGTGGTGATTCAATGGAAATTTCAACGATCCTTTCCTTCATAGATATTTGACTGAGAAATGAAAATTGAAGAATTTAAAAGCAAAAAAACTTTTTTAGTTACAAAATCATTGATTATAAGAAGAAAATGTTCACAAATAGATCATACCTTTAAAAATGATCATTTCTATCAGTTTTTATCTTTTATTTTTTTCGAATTCATTGATTTGTATTTATCTGGTATATTTTTAAAAATGCCATAGATCAATTTAAATACGAAAAACCACTTTTTATCATATTGTTTATTCTATCTTGTAAAGGCTTCCCAATTTGCGATAACTCATTGTTGCACGGAACTCCACCAGTTCCAGCAGCTCCACACGCTGCTTACACTGGTAGCCCAGCCTGGAATCACGGTGCACAATCATATGCTTACCACTCAGCTCCAGCTTACAATCAATGGAATCAACCACAACACTATGATGCTCATGACTATGATTACTCCACCAATGACATCAACGGACCAGGTGGTGACAAGTAAGTGTCATTTACATATCTACCATTTTTGGGGTGATGAATTGGAAAATTCATCACAACATATTTTAAATCGAAAATTTTATCATTAATTCATTGTTTTGCTCGTTTTTCTGCTTAGATACCCTGCTGGTGTAAACCCAAGCGCCTGCCCTAACTATCCATACTGCGATAACGGAGCCGCTTCTCACTATGCACCTGTTGCTACACCATTGGCAGGATACGCAAGTCGGCAATACCCAGCTGGTATCTCACCCGCTGCATGCCCAAATTATCCATACTGTGCCTAAGTTATAGTTCAGGACCTGAGCATTTCTATGTTCAAAAATAGTTCTTAACCGCATCTATCTACTTTGCTTTTGCTGTTTCACCACACACACATACACTCTCGCTCTCTCGCTTTCTTACTGTTTTCTTCCCCTTTTCTGCATTTTTTGTGCTTCGAATTTCTGTACACATGTCTTGTTACTAACAATCTCTAAGATTCCTTTGTTTTTCCCTTTTATATGTGTTTCATCATCTCACGTAGTCTATTGATGCAAAAGAAATTATTAATTTTTTTGTTCAGAAGTGCCAAGCCAAAATTCGTCTCGACAAACGACAATTTTTGTTTTGTTTTAACTTAGACAATCAGCTAAATGGAGATTTCACTGAAGCTATGAAAAAAAATAAACGAAAAACGTGCACAAACTATTTTGAAAATACTCAAGGAATAAAATACTCGAAAACATAAATTATCTACGCTCAAATAAAATTAAGACAATCAAAAGTGATTTGGACGAAAAAAACAAACGACCAAACGAACCGAAAAAAAACTTTTTCAAAACATCATCACCAATCTGTGTTCTATACCGACCTAAACATCACGAAAATACCAATTTTCTCATAAACGGTCTGTTTCTTCTAGCCACTTAACACATTCATTTTTTTTCTCTTCACTTTGATAACAAATTTCGACTTTCCCTCCCATCCCTCTCTCTCTCTCTCTCTCCCGAGCCACTCCGCCGAGAAAGAGAGACGTATAGCACATTACAAAACATCCGATCTGTTTTATCTGTGTATTTTATTTTATTTTATTTTATGTACAAGAGTGGATTTTATTTTCAACTCTTGCACCACGTCTCTCCACCTCATGTAACTAACAAAACGACATCATGTACTTTGAATTTTTCTGTAAATGCTCAATATATTTTGTAAGCAAAAACAATAACAACGGAAAATTCCAGTTTCGAAACATTGACCATTTCACTTGGTTCTCTTGTAAAATTCGATTTATAAACAAAAAATAGATTAGAACAATTTTTGAGCTTAGAATAAAATTGAAATAAACAAAAAAAAGCAACACATTTTTTTACTATTTGTATTACCTCATGAGCTTTTGAAATCCAAACAACGAAACCTACACTACACACACAAGCGCGATGGATTGACGAAGAAAGACAAAAAAAACAAAGATGGTTTCATCAAACCTAATTATGAATGAAGTGAAAAGAAAATTGAATGTTTTTTGACAGATTTTTGATGAAACCGAGCAAAGCAGCAGCAGCAGTTGCAACAACTACAGCAATAAACTCAACAAGTAAAAAAAATGATGAGATATTTCCTAAAATGTAATGATTCATTTCACATATTTGAATAATTCAAGTGAATATACATGTATGTTGAGGCGTTTTTGTAAATACAGGAAAAAAAATCATATGTCAGAGCTGAGAAATATATGGTAACATGCAATGATTTGGTGAAGAAAATAAAGCGAAACGAAGAAAAAAATAAAAGCAAACGCCAAAGCAGAAACAATTTCAAATGTTCATGTAATTATTGGAGCTATGATTGCATCAGTTTCTATTAAGGAAAACAAATGATGGCAAAAATGTGCACATAAGCCAAGCATGTGAGCGCGCGCGCGAGCGTGAGCGCGGCCATTTGAGAGAAAAGAAAAAAAAATGAAGTGAAACATGTGTTAGATAAAAACAGTCAAGCCACAAAAGAAAATACGAAGCAATGTGACGGCATCTGTTGCTGATAAGCGGCTCAGCGGACACGGTGGCGACTGCGGCCGCACATTGCCATTAAATTGATTTTATACGGTGCACTCGTTTGATCAGTGCATAATATTTCACATTTGCTGGCTTGTTGCTTTATATTTCTTTTCGGTTCACCTTAAGAACAGCGCAATTTTCTCTTCGCTTAAAAATGTTTGAGTTACCAAATCGAGACTGTTCATGTGTTAAAATCAGTATACTATTGCGGTTCTGCAGTATTTTGTTGTTTTTTTTTTTCTACTTCTTTTCTTCTATTTCTTTCTTCTTTTTTCTGTTGTTGCTTTGAAAAAAAAAAAAACTCGGTCATAATGTACGGTGTGCCACACACAAAAAGTATGATCTACATGTATTGATTCTAGCATATTCAATAAATTCCAAAACTTTCAATAATGCATTCACCGTTTCGTTTGTTTCTTATTGTGGTTTGCATTGTTTGACGCGTTGCTTGGTTTCTTTTTCTTCATCGTCGCTACTGCCACTCTGGTTTGGTGCTCTGTGTGCGCGCGCTCAATATATTTTACAAATCTTTTTCAATAATTACTCGGGCATTACATAAAATGACACGTTAGCCACATATGTGTGTTTGACGATTTTGTCGGTGGTGCGGTGTGCATGTGTGTGGTTGGCTGGCTGGCTTGCTTACATTTCTTTTGGTTGGCGTTGATTTACCTTTTCAATCTATCTCTCACTCCCTTTCTCTCTTTCAGGCTCTTTTTTTCGTCATAAATTGATACATATTTTGATTACAGTCCCTATGAGCGAATAGATAATTAATGAGCACACAAACATATTGCATTAAGTAATTGCTGTCGAATGTGCAGCTATATTTCTTCTTCCCTCAAAACCAAACGATCACTCGAGGCATCGCTGCCAATTGCAATTGATTTGATGTTGTTTACAGTTTTAAATTCTTGTTTAATGTCCGAACATACATTTCACCCAATCGCCTTTTCATTTTCCATCAAAGTACCGCCAAACGGACGGTACCGCCAAACGGGATTAATTGTGCGAGATATTTAAAAAGGCCATGTCCAAAATGCACGAAAAAGGAATGTCTCATGTTGATATTTACTTGACTTAATTTACCGGCTGACTCCATTTGTTCGGACATGATTGACTCGGTGTTTTGTTCTGCAGTTCGAAAATGAGAAGAAAAATAGAAAAATTGGCTGTCATCAATAGCATCTCGTAGAATAACAGCACATACACACACACACACACACACACTCACATGGCCAACAATCAGCGTATGAATTAATTTAATGGCTTGTGTCATGCAAATTGAACAGGCAATTTACTAATCATTTAATTTATCGTTCCTTGTTCCCAATTTATTCCCATCGATTCGCTTTGCGCGCAGCACCGTTGACTATTTTTTCGCTGTTATGTTGCGATTTTCCATTGCAACACATCGTCCCCTTCTTGCGATCGAGATTTGCAAACCTCATCTTGTTTTATTTTTGATCTTGAGCACACATTTAATTTGATAGCCGCTCATGACAATGATTGATTTGGACATGTGATACTAATTTGGCTAAAAGTCAGTGTTTTTTTTTGCACGTACATTTTTCATCCGCTCATTATGAAATCGCCGCTCAACCCGTTTCTCGATCACCCATGTTTTTTTTTCTTTCTTTCACAAATGGCGAACACCATTGAGTTTGATTTTCTATGAACATTCATTTACAAAATTTTCGTGTCAAACCGTCACATTGAAGCAACAAATCTTACATTGCAACAACGGACTCAATAGCCGACATTTCGCTGTAATTTTCAATGGGAGACAACAACAGCACTGATTTTTCAACAGAATCAAATAATTTGAATTAGTAAAAAAATGCCGCTGTTTGTTATAACATCTTTTCGTTCTGATTGATACGAAGAGATATGCGCATTTCTACTTGGGATTCACGCAGAAGAATAAGATAACTAAATATTTCTGTTAAATTCGGGTTTTTCTTTCTCTCTAAGATTCATTTGAATAACAAGTCACATTTGTCAATGCGTGTTTAAAGCTGCTTCGGAAGGAAAAAAAAGACAAAAAGTGTGAACTTCAATTGGGTTGGAGCGTGTGTGAAACGGGACTATTAAAAGACAAAAGAGCTCAATGTGTTTGTTTGTTTTGTTCTCTGCTGTTTTTTTTCGTCTCTTTTGTTCTGTTTTGCTCCTCAAGTAATTAAAAACTAAGAGTGTCGATTTCTATCTGCCACATTTCTCATCTGAACTGTGTAATTATTCTCGATGAGCAGATTAAGTGGATACCCCAAACAATTATAGTGAGGAGAAGGAAATAAAAATAAATGTTTATGTTCGGTTAATTACGTCGTTTTTTGGGCTCATACGACAAGTAATGATGTATACGAAAAACGCATTTAGAAAAAAAAACTTGAAACAAAAATCCAAAATGATCTGCGATTTTTTTCTCTAGTGTGTTCCAATTTTATAAAGCATAATTGCTGGAACAAATAGCTTAAAATGAAAGAGGGAAAAAATTTAGGTCGCCGCGACTAAGACAGTTTTGTTTTCTGCAATTTGATGGTTTGATTGATTCGTCTCAATATGGACCGCTTGGCCGCACCTTTGTCAAATTTGCAAAATTTCAAATTATGAACGAAAATATTCGATTTCGTTCAAGCCGCGCCACACTTCCATTCGATTTTCATTTGGCTACGCTGTTCAAGCAATCTGCATTGCGACATGTCGAAAAATCGAAGAATCGGCAATTGTCACCGCGTCGAGTGTGAAAAACAAAAGGTAGGCACGCGTGCGCTGCTACCAAATATGATTATATCGTAAAATCATTTCGATTTTGATTCAGCCGAGCAATTATCGTGCGCAACAGCGTCATTCGCATTAGAGAAACAGTTAATAATTCATGTGGATATGTCTATTAAACATTGTAATGGTCGAAGGGAATTGCTCATAGTGAACAGTGGCGCGCGCGCGTACAGAACATGCACATCGAGATAGAGAGAAGGAGACAACAGACAGGCACTCTATACAGAGAGCGATATTTTGAATCTGTTTGCACGCTTTGATTGTTCTTGATCTTCTCGGTGTGTGTGTTTTTTTTTGTTTTGTTTTCATCGCCCCGCTCTGTCTTCACCTTCACTCGGCGCACGGCGCAGTTGATTCAGTTAAACATGGGAGATACAGTAGCACCACCACCAAACAGAGGCAAAATTTTCCATATTGTCTTCGTTGCGGTGCTTGAACACCCACAAATAACCAAGAAGAAGAAAAAAAAAACGCGCATACGACTCAAATGTAAAATGAAGCAATAATAATATAATAAGAGTGTCTTCCAGTCGTTGTATGACGAGCACTCACGAATCCAGAGCTTTGCTATCTCTGTCTATCCTCTTGATTGGGAATAGCAATACAACAAAACAATGAAAAGTAGTCGACGATGACTTTGGCGAATGAGTGAAATAGAAAAAAAAAATATGCGAAGCTCCATTTAAGAAAAAAAAAGACGCCCGAAAGCGAATTCCAGAGTGGAGCGAGTGAGATAGACGAAAAAAAAGAGCAACACATGAAAAAGCGAAAACGCAAAAAAATCACACACACACACATACGCGCGTGCGCATGCGCGCATTCTCGTGTATATCGTTGAAAAATAATTGAATGGAGCTCAAGGGGCTCAAATTTGAATCATCAAATCATTTTTCTTTCAGTCTACCGTATACGAATTTCGAGTGTGGATCTTTCTCAGAGAGCGCAAATCCGACAACAATCAACTTACATTCTCGCATCGCGTTTGCGCCGCCCGTTTAAACATCAAACTACAAATCAATGACCAACCAATATTTAATTTCGTTTTAACTCTTTTACGCAACTATCATGTGAGAGAAAAAAAATAAAAGAAACTGACACGGCATTCAACACAGACAGAGCAGAAAAAAACCGCAATCAAATTGAACATATGCACTGATTTCAATCGATGTAACAACAAGAAGAAAAAAACAACGAGCTCCCTTTTGGATTGCAACAAATAGAAAAACAGCCACGAAATCGTCGTCAATTTAAACCGAAAGAAAAACCTCAAACGCAATAATCGAATTATGTGTAGTAAGAAAACGGTGGATGCTTGTGAGTAAATGTGGTGCGAAAACGTACAAAAACAACGAACTCGTAAACTCTTGCCGAGAGAGAAAGATTGACAACAAACAGTGTGCTGTGAATTTTGAAGAGATCGGCGTCCAAATTCGCAATAGAAAGTACCATCGGCACCAAAAACACCGAAAAACAATATAAACATACGCGAACGCACAACGCAACACCGCAATAAGTCAACAAAATTAAATTTTGAACGGTTTTTCTTTAAATCGCTTCTTTTGTGTGTACAACACCTATTCACCTTTGAATTTGTTTTTTTTTTCGGCTGCGCTTGTGCGTTGCTCACGTTGCTGTGAAGAAAAGAAAGTGAAAATTTTGTTGCCCTTTCGAATGAAAACATACATTGCGCCACAAAGAGTTATTAGTTCTTTGCCGAATTTCGGAATGACATGCATAACACTTCCGAAAAATATGTGAACCGCTTCGGGTAGAAGGAAAAACGCAATACAGACAGACCGATTCAATTGTGCGCAGAAGAAAATTTTTTGTAAATAGAAGTTTTTCGAATTCGGGCGAACACGCACAGTACAAAGATCTTTTAATTGTTTTAAACAAACAAAAATGAACAGTGTCATATTTATAAGTATCATAATCATAGTTGTAAATTGTGCAAAAACCCAAGATGGATTACCCTATGGATTTGATTCAGTGGACAAGTATCAGGTTTGTTTATGGTTTCACGGGCAGTTTTTGACACAATTTTGATAACATTAGAGTAAATTGTGTTGGATTTTCATTAGAATAGAATAAATATAGTCGAAGAGTACATGCATATGTCTTTTCTCACTATATAATCATGCAAGAGATTAACGAGGAAAAACTGCAGATTTTTTAAAAAATTTATTTGTTGATTTGAATTCAAAATTGATCACAATCAAAGCAATAATAAGCAAACACTTTTTGGGTCGATTTTCATTTTTTTTTTTTTAATCTCAGTTTTCTATTGAAATTCAACGAATTTTTAGATATATCTTTGGAAGTTGATAAGAATTTTTGTAACATCGACATTATTTCCGTTATTTTTGGATTTTGTTTGACGAATTAGAGGATTAGAAGTTTTGGATTTAGGGCATTAGACGCTTTTCGACATGAGAAATGCCTATTTAACACCAAATGTTTCATCAGCAATATCGAATAAAAAGAGTTAACTCGAGTTGAATCGCCAAAAATTCGAGAACTATCAAAATTTCCATTTGGATCGGATAGTTCGCTTGTAGACTCGCTGATTAAAATCTTAATTGGAGCTCTAATAAGTATTGATTTGCATGACATTGATCAAAGTTCTCAATAACAAATTCCATTCAACATTGCCAAGTACTAATATCCGTTGTATATTTTGATTGGAATTTTGATATTCAATCGTGTACTTTCCATTCAAGAGATGTGGTACGCGATTTTTTCATCAATGGATTTTGGCAGGCTTCCGAAAGAAAAAGAGAGTGAGAGATAGAAAGAGAGGTAGGGCGAGCGGCAGATAGAGAGAGAGAGAGAGAGAGATTGAAGTACATGGTAGATTCAAACTGAAAAGATTCCATTGAAATTTAAGTACGTTATATTTCTCATGATCATTAATCGTGATTCGATTTGAAGCAGATCAACAGTTAGCCGTAGATTTGTATTGAATGACACAATGCTTTCAAAACACAAAATTCATACATGTACAATACGTCTTTTTGTCGAATGTGAACTGATTTGATGACAGTATTTCATTTTTGCGACGAACAAAATAACGATGGGATGGTCTCTTTTGTGTTTTCGAGAGAGAAAAAATCGAACACAAACTCAGGCACAGAAACAAAGTCACCGTTACAGTTGCACAGAGCACAGAGGAAACAAGACCGCAGAGCTTCGCTTCGCTCCGCTCTGCGTTCTTGAGTTTTTAGTTACTTAATCTATTTTGTTGTTTCACAACAAACTATTTTTTGGCGCACTACATGAAATGTATTTCATCAAAGTAACTTTGGATTTATATATTTATTTGCAAAATGAATTACAAGATCTTGGTTTAATTTCTTTTTTGAAATATACTGCCTTTGGTTTAAATTAAATAAATAATATGAGCATAGAATCTAAAATCACTTTAATTTTGGGCCAGACTCAGAAAATATTATACGAAAAATTAATGTAATTTTTAAACAACATTTGATAATAATAAAAATTTGATTGGCGCTTTGAGATATTATGCACTTATTTGTCGTTACTGCCACTGTTTTAAATTAAATAAAAAATATGTGCATAAAATTCAAATTCACCATACATAATTTGTTTCAACACTCAAAAAGTATCTAGGAAAAAAAAAAAAGATTTATAGCTCTACATTTCATGTAGTGCTAAAAAAAAGCACACACACCGAATGAATTCGGAACATTAACCGAAATAAAGAAAAGAAAATAGTTCCACATGGATGCATTTCCATGGCGTAGGAGGCAAATAAAGTTCAATTTCGGTTGATGTAAATGTTTTTTTTTTCGGGTTGCTGTTAGTTGCGTATGTTCATTTCGAAATAATGGCATGTTCCATATTTTCGACTGTTTCGCTATCGCCATGAAATCGAATAACCGACAAATGACAAAAAATCAACCAAAATTCGGCTCGCAAAGATGCTTAAAAGAGATCAAACCGCTTATTAAGATTCGCATGTCATTGACATCGAACGACGGTGTCGACATCAACTCAAAACTTCTTGAAATGAATCAATCGCTCGTTGTTTTGTTTCGGTTGCTCAATTTCCGCTTGAGTTTATCACAAACGGTTATTTTATGCGCGATTGGATTCAAGTAATTGAACGGTTGACAATGTTATTTTGGGGGGAAATCTCATTTCGCTTTCACTCAATTTGATTTTTTTCTTTCCGTAGATGTACACTCCATCACAGCCTCCGGTGGAAAATATAGACGATGTGCTGAATTTTCTGAAGGAATTCAACATTGAGGCAGCCGAAATGTGCAATCGAGTGGCAAATAATGAATGGAAGTATGCGACCAATGCCAGCGAATACAATAAGCGACGAGTGAAGGAGCAGCAATCGGTTGCAACGAAATTCGAGTGCTTGAGCTGGAGACGAGCAATATCATTTTTAAACTATCCCGTTTCAAATACAAATGTCAAGAGACAATTACAACGAATCATTAAGCAGGGCAAATGTGGCCTCACCGAAGACAAGTACGCCGAAATCAGTAATTTGATACAGCAAATGAAAGACAATTTCAAACATGCGCGCGTTTGTCCGTATCGTGGTACGCAGAGCGAAGTGGTGAATCAATCGACACAAATGAACGAAAATATTGGTGTGCTACCGATAAAGCATCCAAATGAATCCATCATCTCGACCGATTCGGAGAATTACGTGACGCATACTTATACGGGCTATTGTGATCTCAGCATTGATACTGATATACCGCATATCATGGAGCACAGTCGAAATGAGGCCGAATTAAAGTACATTTGGTCGGCATGGCACGAGAAAACTGGACCACCAAATCGCAATAATTTTATGCGTTACATTGATGTAGCCAATCAAGCGGCCATTGCCCATGGTTTCTCTGATGCGGGCGAACAAATGCGTGCACTTTACGAAGACCCAGAAATGTATTTCACTGTGCAGGATTTGTGGACGGAAATTCAACCACTTTATCGACAGTTGTACACGTTCGTACGGAAGGGATTGATTCGTCAGTATGGTGATAAGGTGATAAGACACGATGGCCCAATTCCAGCTCATTTGTTTGGTAATATGTGGGCACAAAACTGGAAGAATATCATGGATATTGTGAAACATCGATACTCCGAAACACCCGACGTCACCGCCGAAATGGTACGACAGGGCTACACACCGCTACGCATATTTCAAAAAGCCGAAGAATTTTTCACATCACTCGGAATGGCACCAATGTCACCGGAATTCTGGCGCAATTCCATTTTACAACAATCGAATGTTGACACTTCACCCAAATGCACCGCTTCCGCATGGGATTTTTGCAATAATTTCGATTTTCGCATCAAACAATGCACACAAATCACTTTGGAGGATTTTCTTAGTGCACACTATCAAATCTCTCACGTTCAATATTACATGCTCTACGCAAATCAACCGTTTGTTTATCGAGACGGACCTAATCCATCATTTCATGAAGCAATTGGTAAGGAATTTTTTTTTTTTCATTAAACATACAAACTCAAAATTAAAATTCCTCATTGTAATGATTGAAAAGTCAAATTTTAAAATTTTATTCTCTTCAAAAAAAAATTCCTCGATTGTTTAGTATTTTACTTTCCATTTTTGTTAAAAAAAATTGTAATAAAATTTTTCCTTTTTCAAAATTTTCATTACAAATTTAACAAATTTGGTTCAATTTCTAATCCATATTTGTTTCATTCAATTGTTCATTTAAGCTCATGCAATTGGATTATCGGTTGGTGGTCCTGTTCATTTGCAGCGAATTGGTCTGTTGTCAACGCCGATTCAAACGGCCAATGGAAATTCCGTGATTAACATTGAGTATTTGTTGGCATTAGCTCTGGAAAAACTACCGTTTTTGGCATTCAGTTTGGCGGTTGAGAAATGGCGATGGCTCGTCTTCGAAAAGGGGCCCGTAGGTATGAATTCGAGATGGTGGGATCTTCGATTACGGTATCAAGGTGTTGTTCCGCCCAATGCACGTCACACGGATGATTTTGATGCGGGCTCAAAATATCACATCATTGCCGATCAAGATTATATCAAATATTTTGTGGGGACAATTTTGCAATTTCAAATTTACGCCGAATTGTGCGAAACAATCAATCACTCGGGACCATTGCACACATGCGATTTCTATCGATCCAGGGAGGCTGGACGCATTTTAAGGTGAACAATTACTCGAATCAATTTCCTTTTTTTCGTATTTTCAGTATTTTCAGAATTTTCATATTTTGATTTTCAAATAATTTCTTAATTTTTCATCATCTGAATTTTTTTCTGTTCATTTTGGCAGTGAGGTGATGCAACACGGCGCTTCCCTGTCACCATCACAGTTGTTGAAGATATTGACACGGGGCAAAATGAATCGACTTTCAGCTGAACCATTGATTACATTTTTCAACCCATTGAAAGCCTGGCTGGAGCAGCAAAATCGCAACGATTACATCGGCTGGAATTCAAACATCGAAGATGTTGCTCTATTCAAATCGCTAAATGGTCATGCTAACCAAAATCACATATCTTTCACACACCTATGGATTTTTACGATCACAATCTCAGTTTATTTGTTCTAATTTATGACAAAAAATAAAAAAAAATATATTTTATTTCGGTTTCATTAGAAGAGATTTTGTTTTTGAATGAATATACACTTGTTGATTCAATTCGATGAACCACTGACCTAGGTCATTACCGATGGTGGTGTCGTTTGAAGTGCAACAATTGGTTGAGCTTGAAGAATTCACTGTTGAATGACGATCGGTTTTGTCTTTTTTTGGTAAATGTGAACCCTTTTTCCATTAATTTTCCTGTTGGAAGTGGAAAATAGCAAACAAAGTTAATTCAGATCATTTTCTAGAATATACAAGTAGATAATGTCATAAATTGGCTCAAATGAAATGTTCTTTAGCTTGAATTTGCTTATGTATTTTTTTTACCTTTTCCCAACATATTTTTTTGTATGGTGAGAATCCTTAGGCAGATATACTTGATGACCCACAGCATTTTTCGGACATTTTCCGTTGTACCATTTTGTGTATTTCACAGGTAAAATTCTGCTCTGCCTTGTATCTATTGTCATTTCACATTCAAAAACGTTGAACATTTGCAGTAATTTGAAGACATTTCCAGTGGAAATAAGCTGAAAAATGAATGAAAATCAATTTTTAATTCAAATAAATATGATAGTCTGTGCAGACAAAAGTATCAATTAAAATTGTTCATTCACCAAAAATTCCGTTTATTTCATTTCGCGAACCGATTTTTGCTTGCTATGGATAAATTTCATTCGTTTTCATTCATTTTAATCTGTTTTTTTTTTCTTCAATTAAAATTGATTATAACTTAAACCGAAGCAAAAGTAAAAGTAAAGCGGAACAAATGTAAACAAGTCCGTTTACACCTCGCCAAGTAAATGTACCATAAATGTGAGGTTATGCGCACACTTGTGAAGTGTCATATGATAAAAGTTAAAAGACCGTTCACATTAGAATGGGAATGAGGTTATGCTACAGCTAAAAATCCAAACAATCATTTATACGCCAAGTTAGATGATACGAATCTGAAAACTGGACCGCTCTCACCAACACCGCCACACAATTCTAACGTCAGCACGATTTTATGTTCGAATTTCAATCAGTTTGAAGCGGCTCATTGACTTCCCCGTCGTACACATAACGTCAATTGAGTGCAAACAAAATATTGCCAAACGACAACCGTAACGAAAGTGAATGTGTAAACGTCAGTGCATAAAGTTATCGCGGAGAACCGAACGAACGAAGAAAAAAAAGAAAACAACAGAGAGTCGACGAGTCGGATGAAAGGCATGAAAAAATCGGCAAAAACCTGCGCCCACAAATCGATTTGACTGTCGAAAAAACGCAACTTTAAACGCAATTCGATTGTTGATTTCAACCGAACCAATTGAAAACAGTCATAGACCCAATAAAAAATACGTTCAAGTGATTTTGGTGGATGATCCAACGAAAAACCAACTAAAAAAAAAACAAGCCAAATAATCGCAAACCGCAGTGATTGTGAGTATTAAAAAATTGGTTCAAAATATTCAAGTTATAGTGAATTTTTGTGTTTGCCTAGCTAAAAAAAATGCGATAAAATTCCAAATAATCTCAAAATAAATCCATATTTTTGAAGTACCACGTCGTCAAAACGCCTAAAAAAATTACTAGAAAACAAATTGAAATGTCATTTGCATTGCTAAGATTACAATGCGTAAAAAAATCTGTGCAACATCGAATGGAACAATTGCTAAAAGCACCCGGGCTCAATGCATTTATTGCGAGCGAAAGATTTTGTAATGAATTTCGATGTGGAACCAATTTCCTGAGGGAAAATGACGGTTTCGCCAAAATGATGGAGTTTGTAGTGTAGTTCTGAGCGCTCTGTGTGGTTATATTTACCGTGTTCATTTTGACCAAGCGTCGCCGTCGACATCGTCGTCATCGTTCAACAGCATTCTTTCGAACCATAACCGTTGGCTCGCCAATGACACCAAACGCATTGATTATTCATGAGTTGGGAAAATACCATCAGAATGAAGAGAGAGAGAGAGAGAGAGAAAAAACGACTATTGAACTCCGAACGTATCAATTAATGTGTGAAGAAGAAAAAAATTAATGTGCCAATTGAAATCAAAAATGTGCACTCAACCGTTTCCAAACGATAATCCGTTTGATCTGTGTGTATGGTATGCTTTGGGAATGTATTTAAAATGAAGCAAAAATCAAACATAACAGACACAATCCAATGTGATCCCAGAAATAGGGAACCAATTGACATTGATACGTCAACAATTTACATACAAAATGAAATTCGAATATGCTAAACAGTAAACAGAATGGATTACGTTCCGTTTTTTTTTTCTTTCTTATATTTTATTCTCTCCTTTGAATGTTCAATGAAGCGACGGCAGTGCGTTCTTTTTCTTTCGGCTAAATGACGAACGTGCATTTTATTTTCGGTCAGTATAAATTCAGTCCGGAACCGTCATCATTCATCCATGATAACGTCGGTGGCAGATGGGCCATTATTTTGGAATACGAGCGCGCGCGCACGTGCACGTCTTTTTCACTCAAGTCAATGAATTATCATTTGAAGACTAAACGAACGCGCATGAGATCATGTAATTATGCAAAACAGTTCTTCTTCGCTGCTGACATTCTATATTTATATTTGCGCTTTGACTGATTGCTCTCTCGTAAAGAATGAAATACAAAAGACGTAATGTCCAATATACAAAAATATTTTTGCCAGCGGCAAAAATATGAGAAATTGTACTAACAAACTACACACAACAACAATAAGAACAACAAACGCAGAAAGAATACATGCTCCTGAATTTTATAAATATAACCACTGATCGCCACTTGTGTGATGCTTTCACGATTTTCGAAACGTTTCGAATCAAGAACAAGGAAAACGCATGATTTGGTTTTCTCCCTCTCTCTTCATGTGCAATCCAATATTATTTAAACATTTGTTCTTAAGCTTTAATTTAGATGGGAAATTAATTGAGATTTAATTTTGGATTTCACTCAAAAAGCAGCTGACCAAACGATATCGGCTTGGCGTGTTCAACGTTCTCTTCATTGTGGCAAATTGTTTCGTTTGATGAACGCATTTTGATGAATATCAAATGTATAAACACGAATCCAAAACAGCGACGCGACTAAAATCATCAATAAACATCTGACATCTGAACGGTGAAAGGTCATCGTATCGGTCCGTCGATCGTAGGCGAAAGTGTGAACACACAACTGAAACCAAGTGAAGCAAACAAACATAAAAAAAAACACACATTGACAAATAAAATCGCAACCAATTAAAATGGGGATCATACTAGCGAAATTTAGAGTAAGTAATCGATTATTGCTCATATGTTTTTTCCTGCTTCTTCTTTTTCTTTGATAAAAACCGCACGTTATATTGAACTTCGAAGTCAACACGTCATCCGCTAATTTCATTGTCGTTGATCAAAATTATATAAAATGGTTATTTTCGCGTGTCTTTTGCAATATCGTGTGCGTGAGCGCGCCGATACACTTTATATTTTCATGTTTTGTTTTGTTTTTTATTGAGTCGGTTCCAACAGACCGCTTATTACAGAAAACAGTCATTTATTTTTTCTTTCGTTTACATTTTATTTTCGAGCCAAACGCATGAAGACACTGAAATACTTGAAACTCAATCGTTGGAAAATGATCAAATGATAAAATACTTTGTGGCTATCCACTTCTTTGTTCATCTTCTCTGCATGAATTTTCGATTGTTTCGTGATTTCTGTATTCGCTTTCTTACTCTAGCCTAAAAGAAAGTGAACAACTGATTAAATATGTGCATGTTACCCGATCGTTTCTTTCTCTTTTCTCCGTTTTTTTTTCTCATTCTCTATGCTTTTTGTTGCCATTTGCAGAAAGAAAAGACTACATTTGAAGTGCTGGAGGAGCTAGAGACAAAGATCAAAGATATTGAAAGCTTTTCGATTAGCACACAAGCACGACAGAAACGGTTCGTGGGCAATTTTCTTGTGTTTTCCGTCGGTTTGTATGTCATCGCATCGATCGTATTCTATTTTGCATTTTTCCCATCAACATGGTCCAAACGGATCATATACTCAACACCGCTACTGATATTTCCCATTCTGTAAGTATTTGGATCGTGTTGTTTTTTTCTTCTTCATATTTTTATTAACAAATTGATGCCATTCTCTCTGCTCTTTCAGAATAATTTTGTTAAAGCGTTTGGTTGCATGGTATTTCCAGCGAAAGATAAACCGTAATGCAAATCAATTGAAAAAATTACGTGCCGAAAAGAAGAAAATCATTGAACAGGTCATGGACAAAGAGACGTATAAAGTGGCCTGTGAAATATTAAATCGCTTTGGGGATGCATCAACACGGGCACAACATCAACCTGTTGCTAGCGGTACTTAATTATACAATTTATCATACGTATGAACCAGTAAATTACATAATTTTGATTGGCCTTTCGTTTTTATTTGTCTTTGCCGCTGTCTATGTCTCTGCATCTACAACCTAATTAGCAATCACATCACCAAATCAAAGTTTGATCGGATCTAATTTAGCAACACCACAAAAGCAACAACAGCAAAAAGTTGGTGTAACGCCACAAACACAACCAAGACAAGCAATAATGCCAATGCCAACCGCTCGTACACCAATCAATGTACGAAGTATACCGCCATCAATGAACGCACTTCAAACGCCATCATTTGGCCAATATCGAATTGCTTCGCCCACACCAGTTGTCGGTATGTACACAATGTACACCTCCATTTATTTATGAATATGATTCATTTTTGGCGTCGAAACAATTGCATCAGCGAATTAGTTTGTTGTGTGGCGATGAAGTGTCCATGAGATAAAAACCGAATGACAAATAGAAATGACGATAGAATTGAAGAATTTTCTCGATTTGAGAAAACAAACATTTTTTTCTTTGATTTTATCTCCACACGCTTATCGCTGACAACAATTTCCCATTGTTCATTCTATAATTTCCATATAAATTACAACGTGAACCCCACATTTTATGTCAACTCATCGGAATTTGTTATCACATAATCGTAATTCGTTTTGCAGCGAGACATCAATTTGGCACACCATTTCCGATAATCAACCAAAGCCAGAAGGGAATGTTCGAAAAGATTGTCGACTATTTGATAAACGACGGACCAAGCAGTCGATATGGAATGATTTGCAAAGAATGTTACGGTCACAATGGTAAGCCAAATGAATGCGATGAAAATATTGATAAATGAAATAACATGTCTGCGATGTTTTTTCTCTTCTAAAATCCTAGGAATGGTGTCACAAGAGGAGTATGAATATTCAGCATTTAAATGCGCTTTTTGTAAAGCTTTAAATCCAGCAAAGAAAATTCGACCGATTGCGCCTCGGTTGATTTTACCCGAAAAAATTACTGGCGAGACTAGCAATAAGCCTCAGCCGAGTAAAACACAGCAACCGAGCTCTTCGGCGCCGGTTACGGACAAAGATTCAGGTAACATTCATAACATTCAAATGATTTTGATTAAAATTATCGTGTTCCGTGTTGCTTATTAATGTTTGGTTGAAATTGTTTCCAGGCTCTGAATCTGATGCGGTATCCAGTGAGCTTCGAAAACGGAAAGAGACGCCATCGCAACAACCAGACTCGAATGTGGTCGAAACAATAACGGAGCCAACGGCAATGCCAACCGAACCAACAGTGGGCGAAGCCAATGACGATAAGGAAAACGAACCTAGTGAAACTGTTAAAACTCATATCGATAAGAAAAATGAATAATTTATTGGAAAGTGTGTTTGCAATTTAGAAAAGAAAACAAAAAAAAGTATGCTCGATTCCTTATCATTTGTTTCTGTTCTTATCACTCAATTAATAAACCGAACTGAGCTAAAAAAAAAAAGGAAACGAAATTCTTTTAAGAATAACCACCACCATAAAAAAGAAGTCAATTAGTTATTTGTTTTGGAATGACGGTATCGTCCCCTCATTTTGTTTGTTTGTTTGCATAGATCTTTCATAAGACCCACTACCCTTCTCACCCAATACGGTATAGGATGACATTCAAACCGTTATAGATTATAGACGTAAAACATAGCAGGATTTCCAAGAATTTTGAACAATTCAAAACCGTTTTTTTTCTTCAATGGCATAAACTAAATTTTGCTATGATTTTTAAGATTTGGCCAATTTATTTAGTTATGTAACATCGAACACGGAATGAGATCTCAGTGATCGAATCGTCACGCGAAGCATTACACACATTTCACTTTTTTTTACTTTTGAAAGCCAGACATCATTGATACGTGTCACAAAGTTATCAAAAATGGTCAAAACTCACAATCATTGCTACTGTTCAATGAACGAAACGAAAAAACGAATCAGCATTCAATTCAGAATTGAAAATTCTAAATGGACAACCATTTTTTGTACGGCATCTATTGTCAATGTTTTTAAAATATTTATTGAAATTGTGGCGAGAGAAAAAGAAACCGAAAACACAATTGCTAATGAAAATCTATCTTTGTAATAATTCAACCTCCAAATTTTGTAAATTGAATAAAATAACTAAATGCACCTGCAAATAATTCAAGTGTTTTTTTTTCTCCTTTGAATTGAACTTAAAAAAAAAATTCCCAATTATGAATAAAACTTCAGATTTCGTTTTAAAAAAAAATTACATCCTTTATTTTTCCTTATAGTTTTTTTTTCTCTGTTCCGGTTAATTTAACATAAAAATTCCTGTAATTTCATTGCATTTCATTGTTTTTATATTTTCAATTTTTTTTTTCCGTTTTTTTTTTTGTTTTCGACTTATTTTTGTGTTGACGAAATACGTTCGAAATATCAAAAATGTTGATCGCATTATAAAGTCTCTCTCAGTCACGCCCATGCACGCATCAAAATTCATTCATTAAATAAATATAATTTAAAAAAAAATTATTGGAAAAAGAGCGTTTTTTTCTTTTGCGGGAGGATAGGGATGGAGTAAGGTGATGATCAGAAATCTGGATCATAATCTCGATTATACCGCCGCGTATTGTACGTATACAGTCCCATCGCATTTTGATGCGACGGATGATGGTGACTCGTCGAATAAGATGGATGATACTGCGGATGGAAATTATCCATGTATGGATCATTCTGTGGGTACGGATACGATTTCTGCGAATAATGTGGCTTCGACAGCTTTTGATCGTAATAATAGTCAGCGTTCGCTTGGTACTTTTGCTGTGTACGCCAACTGTCAAACCGTTCGTCTCGGTCACTGCTTGAGTTGGCAAAACGCTGCACATTTCACGAGAAACAAATTAAATTATTTTTTAATTGCAATTTATTTTAGTTTTCATTACATTTACGTCGTGTCGTTTTCGACTTACTTTTGGTTTGAAGTTTGAATCAGGTTTTACATCATCCCATGTATCTTCAATGTATAATTCTTCGTGGCCATAATTTTCGAAGCCACCCATATGATTTTTGTTCAATTCGTTCAACATATCGGCTGTCAGTGGAATTGGTGCTTTCTTTTTCGATCGTTTTTGTCGATTCATTAGCTGCATTTTTTTTTCAAGAAAGAACATACAAAAATGAAAATATGAAAAAAAGAGAAGAAAAGGAGAAAAAAGGGGAAAAAATGAAGATAAATAAAGAACCAATAATATAGTCGAATGTGAAAAATAGGCGAAAAAAAACCGTTGAGCTAATTTAAATGGGAAATTATGTGTGTCAGCTTACCACAGCTGCACCAAATATAACAACGAATAGCAATGATCCAGCACCAATCACAATAACAGCAATGGCCCATTGTGGAACGATTGATTGTTCGATCTCATTCGATGTCGTTGGTATTATTCGTTGTTTCGGAATAACTGTTTAAAATTAGAGAGAAAAAAAAAATATTGAAATAAAAACGTGGCTCTTTGTGACTTTCCACTCTTGCATTTTGCTGATTTGTCTCACCAATAAAGTCGGTTGCGAGTGGATCCAATATAAAGTCTCCCATTAAATAATTGCTTCTGGCTGGTTTTGCATTGTCAGGGAAATCGGCTATGATTTGTTCCATATCCATTGACGATGCGGTTGCATTGTTTTTCAATGGAACAACAGTCATTGGCACCTCGGTGAGTGCGTCGTGGAACATTTTTTTGATTTCTTGGGTGTTTATATCACGTGATACATCGGCCAGTTCAACAAAATAATCAACAAGTACACTTCCCTGACTGAAACTATCGATGCGAATCTTTTTGAACCATTTCTTAAGGCGATCAGCCTTACTGTACACATCGTTCAACTGCAATGGAGCAACAATGTTTTAGTTATTTTTTTATCTCCTCGTAGCGTCAATAATAAGCATTTACAAGTTTTTGTTTTCTATCTTCAAATGATCATGTTTACGTGTAGTACCTGAATTTCAATTTCTTTCGCCAAATTTTTGTATTCCACCGTATTATGATCGAGAAGTTCTGGCTTCCATTTAACACCATCAACAATTTTTATTGTACCAGCCAAATCGCATTGCACATGGCATAGACCGGGCTGTGTTGGTCGAACTGTAGTTGTGGTGGTGGTTGTCGTAACAATGGTTGTCGATGTGCTCGACGATGTTCGTTTCAAAATCTCCGAAATATCAATTGCTTGGGCACCTTGTTGTTCGAAAATCTTTTCGATGCTCAGTGGCGTTGTGGACACGGTTGGCCAGCCAGTGAATTCGGTCGTTGCTCTGGAATAAATTTTCAATTAATTCAAAACCATTTCGTGATTTATAAACGTTCATCGAGCATTTTATTGCCGAAATAAAAACAATCAAATGCGCAATGAATGCGATGTAATTCATAAAACAAAAACTGGTTGTCATTGACTTGATGATATAAATTTATAATCCATTATTGTTCATTCCAGCTCTTACCTTGTGGGCAATCCTTTGCGAATGGTAATTCCTGGTGCCGTTGGGCTTTCAGCATATGATGGTCTTGGTGTTGTCAGTCTAACGCCCGGCCGTTTGCCAATACCTTTCGGGAACACTAATTTGAAACCTGGATTTCCGCCGCTGCCGCTGCTGCTGCTGCTGCTGCTGCTTGTTGATGACGGTTTTTCATCTGTCTTCTCTTTTGATGCTGAGTCATCTTCCGAAGCGTTTGCCTTAAAACCGGGCGGCAATAAGCTACTAATGTCCGCATTAAATGACAGTTTATTCAGCAGAGAATGCTGTTCATCGCTACTTCCGCCATTGTCCGGTGTTGTAGTTTCTGGTTTTTCGGTGGTGGTCGATTTTGGCAATCGGTAACCTGGAGGCAGGAATTTACTGATATCATCCATTGTTGTTTTCAATTGTGGTCGATTGGTTGTGGTGATGGTGTTTTCTTTTGGCAATTTAAATCCGGGCGGCAAAAATTTGCTAATATCTTCGGTGACCGTGCTCAAGTGGAATGGTGCCTTTGTTGTTGACGGTGGCGACGATAGTTTATAGTCTTTGGGCAAAAGTGCTTCAAGTTTATCATCAAATTTGATCTTCGGCGAAATGTCCGATTGTTCATTTGAGGTGGCATTTTCTTCGGCTTTGGGTTTGCTTTCGCTTTGTGGTGGTTTATAGTCTTTTGGCAGTAATCCTTCCAATGCAATCTCCTTGAATTGAATCTTTTGAAGTAGATCATCGATTGTGGTTGTCGTTTCGGATTTTGGTGTTGTTGATTGAGCTCGGTACTTAAAACCGGGCGGTAACAAACTAGCTAACTCATCGTCAACATCAAAATTAGGTTTTTTCGATGTTATCGGTAGTTTGCGTGCGGGCGCTTTGGTTGTGCGTGGTGTAAACTTCCGAATCACAACGGGCACACTCTTTGTCGTTAGCTCCGGTTTTGGTTCGTTTAATTCGTGCAAGTGTGCCAATTTTTCACTAATTGATGACAATTTGTGCGTTCGACTTTTTACAACATCGGAATTTGATGCGTCGGATTCATTTTTCGATTGCACAACACTCTCTTGTGATGTTTCTTCCGTTGAATCGTTGGCAACCGCAGCCGAAGCCGTAGCCGCTGCCTCGTCTTTTGTTGCCACCGCTTTCTTTGATTTATCTTCACTTGATTTTACCAAATCATCCGCTTTGTTTGAATCGCTTGAATCAACGTCTGAAGCATTTTCGTTGCTGTAATCATTGTCTTTGTGTAATTTTTTCACGTCTTTTTGTGCGTCGCTCAACGATTGTCGCTTTTCTTCTTGTTCCACCTGAGGGAATGTTAAATATCGAGCGCCAGTTATGCTTCGACTTGTTTGTACCGATGCCACAACCAAATGACCTTCCGTCGATGTACTCGTATTTTCGACTGGTTCCGTTGTGCTCACTGATAACGTTTCAACTGGTTCGATACTTGTTTCCATTTGTTCATTGCTTGTTACTTTGGATTTTACGGATTTTTCCACCGTTTTTGCTGTCGATTCTGGCTCTTCAGCACTATCAACTGTAGAATATTCTTCTACCACCTCATCTTCCTCTTCTTCTTCCTCATGGGTCGTTGTTTGTTCCTCTTGTTCGGTCACCGGTTTTGGGATCGTCTTGGTTTCCGTTGTTATTGGCTCATCCACGTAGTCATCGTAGTATTCATATTCAACATTTGGATCCAATGTGACTGACTTCGGTGATGTTGCGCTGGTCGTTTTTGCTGTTGTAGTCGTTGTTGTTGTTGCTGTTGTTGCTGTTGTTGCTGTTGTTGTTGTTGGTACCACAAATTTCTTTGTCGTTTTTTCTACAATTCGTTCCGTTTCCAGCTCCTCCTCCTCCTCCTCCTCCTCTGGCACCGAATCGATCACATCTTCAGCATTGTCTTTTTGCTGGCCATTTGCTTCGCTAATATCGCTTGATAAATCGTTTGGTTCATGATTCTCGTATTCATGGTGTTGCTCCAACTTCGGAATTGGTTTGCCGGGCAAAAAGAAGTTTGATGTTAAAATCACCGGTTTATTCTCATCTTTCGGTTTGGTTGTCATTTTAATTTCTTCCTCATCTTTACCGTCAATTGAATCATCGTCATAGAAAAATTCCTCCTCTTCTTCATCATCATCATCATCGTCGTCGGTTGTTTCGATCGATGGCCGATTTTCAATGATCGCTTTTTGCGGTGCTCTTGATACAATCCCTTGTTGGATTGCCGGTGTTCGCACCGTTTCACCAGATGATTCACGAATCTTTTGGCGCGCTTGTTGCAACAACTGCAATTGATGTGTTCTGTTCGATACCTGTTACAAGAAATTATACATAGCGGTTGAATTTTTTTTTCTCTTCTTTATCTCATATTTATAAATGAAAACTTTCCGGTTGATAGACGAACATTTAAAAAAAGCTTTAAAATTCATTAGAGAAACAAAAACAAACAAATATCTAAAAAGAGAATAAATTACAAGAAAAAAATTATACACATACCTCTTGACTTGCGCTAGCACCATCGCGGTTAGTGCTGCCATTGTGTGTGATGTTGATGCGTTTGAGTGTTTGCTGCTGGAGTTGTGGCTGTTGCTGTTGTTGTTGATTGGTCTCGCGACTCGTGTACAATGGCTGTCGCAGGAACTTGTTGATACGAATGCTGGTGTTCTGTTCGCGAGATGTTCCAAAGCGTGTGGAAATTGGTATACGATTTTGACGTTGATCCGATGTGATTTGCTGTGGATTTGGTTTGCTGGCCGGGGCTATGGTGGCTGGTGCAAGTGTCGTTGATTGTGTTGTTGCCGTTGCTGCTGCTGCTACTGCTGGTGTGTTTCGGCTCGTTGCTATTGGCTTGGTGGTGCTCAATGGATGGAAACGATTTCGTGTGTTCGGAAATCGATTGTTTTCATTGCTTTCTTCTTGACTAGTTGCGGATTCATTTGACTTTCTTACACTATTTCTAATCGAATTGTTATTACTACTTCTTTGATTCACGGCGGAATCGTTGTTCAATAAACGGCTCGCTTGGCCTTGCTTCACGAATTTCGTCGCATCGTATATAGTTATCGCTGGCGCTGGCGTTGGCGCTCGACCAACGGGAGTATTTTGATGATGAATTGGCTGTTGCTGCTGCTGCTTTGAGATATACAATTTTAGGGTTTTAAAATAAAATTTGTTCATTTTCAACCGACAGAAGTAAATATCTAGCCAAAAAATGTTCTAATTCAATTTGATCGATTCAAATGGAGATCTTAAATGCTTTGAACTGTTCAAATAGTTCCGAATAAAAACAAATGAATGTAATTTACCTGTTGAAGTGCAGGTGGTTGACGTTGCTCTAAACTTTCTACATTTGGATGCAACAGTTGGGATAGCTGTTGTTGGAATGGTTGTTGCGGGAATCCAAAATTTTGTTCAGCGGTGTATTGTTGTGATTGTGGTACAATCGGTGGTCGCACAAACTGAAGACCATGATTGCCATTTGGCTGGATTGCAAACGGCCTTGGTGATACTTGGAAAAAGTTCTCTTGCTGTCGAGGTGGCGCCGCCGGTTGCTGTTGAAATATATCCAAAGAAAAATAAACCATTTTTGTTACTACAGGCCATCGATATATTGTGCACAAATGGTTTGCGGGAAAATTCCATTTATGGCTCAATTCAATCGAGATTATTTTTCGGTGTTCCACAAATAATTTGCGTAGTCAGATAAATATGGCTTAAGGTAACCTGGATTGGTTTTTTTCGCTACACCAAAATCCATTGGATATTACATCAAACTGAGTGAATTTGTTTCGGTTTGTGCCTTATTATATAAAACAAACAATGAAAAACATTGATTTCCAGCCGATGGATTCGCCTAATTTAACAAAAATCCACGGGATGCTGGGTGTTGTGTATTATAATATCTTTTTCACGCAATCTCGCTAATTTTTAACTGATATTGAGCAAAACAATTTCGAAATGTTTGATATGATCATCACATCGTGAAAGATTACATAAGTAAAACCGGGTTTGTTATCACTAATTTCGAAATGTCTTCAACATCATCAACAACAAGTGAAAATATCAATGCATTCATGTATGACTATTCAATCGCAACTCACCGGAAATGCGGAATATTGGAAGTAATCGGACGATGAACCGTCATTCTTCGCAGGTATGGCGCCGAAAAATGCTGACTGATCTTGCTGTTGCTGCTGCTGCTGCTGCTGTTGTGGTTGCTGTATAGCTCCCCCTAATTGACTACGTGGTAAGGATTGTGGGAAACTTTGCCCAGTATTTGGCAATCCATTCGTTGGAAAGAATCCATTGCGTGAAGCTGGAAATGGTGACTGGAACCTTTGCGGCGATTGAAAGTAGAAATTTTGGTCTGTCGCTATAATTATGGAAGTGATGGGAGAAAGAGAAAGAAAGAGAAAAAGAAGACAGTGAATAAGATGAGAACAAAAGGCTTTTTAATTAACATTTCCATTGAAATTCGATATGACCCAGCATAAATAATGGTGCTAAAGAGATAGCTCAAATGTTGTTTTTGGGTGTTTAGAAGCTAATGAAAGAAAACATACAAGGAAAAGATCGTGCGAAAGCGAAAGTTACACCAAGTATGATTGATTAGTTGATATTACACTTTTCATCAATAAAACCATCTTTTTTGGCAGACTCATTTTTCTTCTTCTTCTCCTTCTTCTTTCTTACTATCTTTCTTTCTTTCATTCATTTATTTTCATATTCACAAATTTTCGCACAATGAAAATGAGTATTTTACTATTAATCTTCGCCATTGATAAACTACTATATTGGCAATGAAATACCATTTCGTTTTAATCGAGTCTTTCAACTGTATAGCTTTGAATATGAAACATAAAAGATTCACTAATTTTATACTGATGATACATTCGCTGAATTGGAAATGTGTAATTCTAAGCGTTTTTTTAGAAGCTAAAAGAAGAAAAAATTGCGTCAAGTGAGAGTGAATGGGACAAGCTTTTGTTTATCGTTTTGTTAAACGTCATAATTCTTCTCGATAAAAATGGTCGGAAGCTAAAACAAGAAAAAAATTCACATCATCATAATAATGGTAGAAGAGAGTCTTTTAAAGTGACTGTGCGAATGAAAGAAGTGATTTGGGGGAAATTTTGAAGTCAAATAAAACATTCATTACAATATGATTAAGTTTCGGTTGTTACTGAATGCTGTAAAAAGGATCGATTAGGAAGAAAGCATCGTGTATGATTGGCATTGGTAGGGGTAGGGAAATTAAACGTGAGCGTGGCAAATCACATCGAAAATTCAGCCAACGGCATATGGGAGAAAGAGCGAGAGCGAAAGCGAGAGACGCTCATGTGAAAGCACACACAATTGAAAAGCATATACAAAAATTAGGTGTGTTTGCCGTTGCGCCCGTTAATTGCAGAATAAACGTGACAATGTAAAAATGAAAAGTAAATTCCAAACCACTGAAACGCTTGTCCAATTTACCCGAAAATATTTATTTTACACAGTTGGCCACGAAACCTTAATTAAAGCCCGAAATGAAATTGGTATTCAACAGACAACAAATTAAATCTAATGAACGGGTTAGCTTCGAAATGCAAAAGCTATCGCAATTAATTTCACAGATTCCTGCATTGTCGGTTTTTCGTTGGTTTTCCGTTTGTTGAAATTCACGCCATGGTGTTGAAGTCGACAGCAATGCAAACACTCTTGGAATAGCACACAGCAACAATGGTTTCAACCCATTTCAGATTGGTTTGCATGTTTCTTTCTGGTTGTATTGGATTCGATCATTATTTTGTTGGAGCCGGCCACAGTTTAATGTCTTATCTCCCAACGCTTTTTACTGAATGTGCTACAATGAAATGATTCATTAAGAGGTGCCATTTTCTCAATCAAGTCAATCGAAATAGATCGATTGCTGTGTATATTTGCTATAAATCGAAATTTGATTCGAATGCTCTTGAGTTATGTGACCTCATTTTTCCGTTGTCTTCACTTTCCAACTCCATTTTACCGTGTGTAACTAAACGGCTCACTGTATGCTAGAAACTGACAAACTCCAACGATTATAATAAGGCTTTTGTCTGTCCTCTCCAATTTTGGTTGGCCCCGACCGACCCAAGTCGGTAAAACTAAAAAGTTCATAAAATCGTCATTAAATCCGATCATCATGATGGTTAATTTGCTATTTCTCTCTTCCTCACGGTCTATATGCTTTTCCCTTCATGTACATTCGCTTCAATAAACGGCTAACGTACTCTAACGGTGTGATCATGCGATCCCATTTTATTATCCACTTAATTTTTCTCTTGAAATACTCGACCGAATCATATTTTTCTTCGTCTTTATTTCTTATTCAATTAGAAGTATCGATAAATCGACGAAATTTGTACAATTAAAAAAAACAATGGGTGAAAAGCATCGATTATTATTAGTGGCCGGAAGATGTAGCGAATGAATTTAAGAGAAGAAGAGGAAAACGAAATTGCTTACGGTGATCGGACAGAGCGATGATATCTTTGAAATTGAGAGTGATTTCATTTTCGACAGCGCATTTCATTGATTTCCAAGGCGTGCGGATTTTCCGGGCTCATTAGCAAAATGACGAAAACAACGAAAAAAAAACTCATAATAATCGATGCTAAATGATGATTTCAACTCGATTTTAAATGCGAATGACGAATCAACATCAAACGATGACAAACTCTTACTTTGGCTTCAAATAAAGATTTAAACCGATGACCTCTACATATGTTCATTCCGTTGGAAGATCGCGTCACGATCGTAGACAAATGAACTTAGGTGTTTTTTTTGCTCGTTTCGCTTGTGTCAATTTCGTGTGAGTTCCATGGTGACATCCAGTTCCGTCACATTTCTGGATTGATTGTCATTTTTTTTTCAATCGGACACTATAAAGTACACGGAGATCACGATCAATCGAAAAATTTGTCAATCACACACTCATATACAATACCTCGGCCAAATAGACGTACACACATTGTTTAGAAAAACAACAGCCACGGCTACAAATTTACGCATTACTCGCGCTTATTAAAAATGTGCTTTGCGGATAATGGCCGTAACTGATTTACTATTCAGATAGTGAATTAATTATATGTAGGTTTGTTCAGTTTGATGGCCGCAACATAACGCACCGTTTCTCACATTCTCGCATTGAATACAACGTGGAAAGGAAAGAAAAAAAATACTTGTTATTGTTGTTGATGCTGCTGGTGGTGTTGATACATTCAAGCTAAGACTTGCAACAACTCTCGTCGAAAATCCGTTTTCCTTGAAATTCTTGATGAATGCGATTTGCATTAGATTCGTATATATTCGGGTGAGATGTGTTGTTTCCGTCTCCCTTCAACTATGCCTGAGTCTAATGAGTTTTTTTTTCTCTACTCAATGTGGTTGATGTGTCATTTAATATGAACTTGAATAACGGCTGCTCGTGTTTTTTCCAACTCATTATTCCAATGAGCTAAGCTCCAATAAAGTTCAATCAAATGTTGTAGAACATTCATGTGAGCAATGAGATTAACGCCGACTTTGTTGTCAATATGTATGCATAGCACAATTTTCTCATATTCATACAGAAGAATGAAATGCCGTTTCGCCTTTCAACAATAACGACAATTTATTTTTTCGGTTGTCGTTGTTGTTGTTCAAATATTGTGCACGTGTTTTTTTTTTTTGATTTTGCCAAATGAATGGATATTGTTTGAGAATGAAACGAAATGTATTGACGCAAGCGTGATCTCGTTTCAGAGCCCTTCATGTATCCAAAATAAAAAAAAAGGAATAAATCGATTGACATAAATAATAAGCTGAAAAGAGTACATAGTTGAGATAGGTCTCAGCTGGAATTTTTTTAGCTTATGATTAGCTAGTTGACTAGTTTGTTCTGCCATCGATATTTACTGGTTTCAACGCCAATCGATTAGATAAATCATAACGTTAATTGCGAGATTATTTAAATTGGTTTTCAGTTCAAGTTTGATTCGAATGTTGTATTCATCTTACGCAACCTATACTTTTGGCCGGCGCAAGAGTGAGCCTAGCGGTGGCGCCCAAATAAGATGTATTACCAATTTGCGGCATTTTTAAGATCTATCAATACTTGTTGTTGTTGAAATGAATTTCGCAACAACAAGAAGTATTGATAGTTCTTAAACTTGGCGCAGACTCTATTTAGGCGCCACCGCTACTCACTGTTACATCAAATACATTGGTTCTTATGGTAAAGAAGCACAGGTTGATCTTACGCTTTGTCTATTATCCTAGAATCATATTTTTCTTTCAAAAATTTATTCATTTATATAGAATCGAATTAATTTAAAGTTTATAACAATCTCCGCACTAGCGCAACGATTCAACATATTCTTCGTGGTTTTTTTTTCTCCATCAATGGCAAACAAAGAACAAATGTGTGTGCATTCCGTCGTTCTTTGCGAAACAAAAGAATTTTTTTCTTCATTTTCAATTAATTTATATACGAAGGTCAAAATTAGCACGCAAAGTTGTTATGCCTTAGCGCTTATAAAGAACGAAGCGCAGTCGACGTGTGTTTCTATTGCCGCCACTGTACGATTTCTTTCGTCCAAAGTTCTATGGACTACAACACCAAAACACCGCTACAATTCTTTCTCTCTCTCTCGCTCTCGTTCAAAGAACTTTTACTTGTGTAGCCCATAATAATTGAGTGAATAATTTTCATGTTTCATTTTTATTACAGCATTACAAACAATTCGATGGAAATAGAATAATTTATAGTTTGGAATTCGTTTTTGCCTCGTGAAAATTCCATACGCGAACGGTATGAAAATTAGCAACTGTATTTATCTGATGAGCGCATTCTATGTTGCTACTGTGTTTATTTTCTGTTATTGTTTTATTATTATTGTATCGTTTTTAAAAGTTAATTAAAACGTTCTGCATGATGTAGAAAATGAACAGCTAAAAAAGCATAAGGCAATCGTTGTAAATATTTTAATAATCGTGTTATATATATTTTTGAAATGACATTCTTGTAATCTGGCCACATATTTATGATACGTATTATACGTGAAATCGATGCAATCGCAAATTGCACGGTAGTTCAAAAAAAAAATGCTCACATACTCTCGATCGCCATCGAAGCAGAAATGAGCCAAATGTTGAGTTCGATTTCGGAACCACACACCATTTTTTCGGGCCATTTATTATACAATCGACGTAAAATGCTAGTTAAATGACAAAGGATGCCTTTAAATATCATATAATGCAAATGTGGCTCAATTCGGTCCAAAAGCATGCACACTTTGGCTGCCATCATCATCATCATCATCATCATAATATCGATAAACAGCAAACATTTCCAGATAGATAAAGAGAGAG